CTCAACAATCAGGCCATCTGCAGGAGACTAAAAAGTCTGACCTGGAATAAGGCTGGTTCCTTTGGACTTTTAATGATTTTTAGAGAAATTTTCCAGGAGAGGCTGGAATGGCCCAATGCGTCGTACTGATTGATTGATTGATTGATTGATTGGACTGATAAATTTATTGTTTTTCTGTGCCGCTTTTCAAATGAATCCCAAAGCAGCTTACAAACAATAAATAAGAGTAACATAGTCAAACATAATAGAACAGCACAAACACAGCATAAATCATATTTACAATCTAGAAAACGCTATTAACAAAGCAGCAACTTAAAAAAACCTAAACATCACCAAAATCCATTGTATATGTTTCACAAATCAATGCAGCAGTTATACTCTATAAAACAATATTAACAACATTAACAGAACAACTAAAAAAATAATAATAAGCTAAGCACTGTTAAGTTAATATGCACACTTGCCACGCCTCCAAGACGGATAAGCTGTCACTTTATTCAGCTCATTAAAATACACATAATGCCCGTTGTTAAGCCAGCTCAGCCAGATGCTGCGTTGGCCAGGGTCCTCAGGTAGGGAGCCATGGTAGAGACAGTGGAGCTTTCCAGCCTTCTGCCAGTGGCGCGGTGGATGTGGACTTCAGGTCCAGGCGTCGTGGATGAGGAATTCGTCCGTGTCACCAGTCCAAGATGAGCCTGTCCCTTCAGAGCAGCGAGTTGCGGCTGCTGTAGGTGCAGAGGCCGACTGGGGTCCTGCACCGCCTACCTGCCAGACGCACTGTTGGGGGGGAAATGTGCCCTGCAATATCGCAAGGTGAGATTTGGTGATCCCTTGAACTCCTGCTGCCCCAGTTTGGGCTCTTGAGAGAACCTCGGGTTTGGCAAGCCCATGAGAGCTGTCCGGTGGATCATGGAAGCAAGCAGGGGAAATGAGAACATCACATTCGGTTAGAGTGTCAGACTAGGACCTGGGAGACCTGGGTTCAAATCCTCACTCAGCTCTTACCGGGTGGCATTGGGCCAGTCTCTCACACAAACACACACTCAGTCTTTAACTGTCCTCACAGGGTTGCTGTGGGGATAAAATGGAGACAGCGAGTGCCCCCTTAAGCTCCTCAGAGGACAGGTGGGATATAAATGTCTTAATTTAAGTTAACTGCATTGCAAATAACAAGGGAGGAACGGCAGCCTTTCCCCACCAAAGGGATTATGAGACACAGGAGGAAGGTGGGAGTCTGCAGGGATCTCTGCGGCAGCATCAGTCCTGAGAACTGAGGAAGAAATTGCCAAACATTTCTATTTCCTGCTCCCCCTTTTGTTTTTTCATCCTTTTCTCCACCCCACCCCCTTAGATAAGGAGAGGGGTTGCTGCCATCTGAAGGCCAGTTGTGGGATTGCACTGGTGGCTTGACAGGTTGAGGGGGACCTGGGAGAGTGGTGCCTGGGTCTGAGGGGGTTCTCTTTGGAAGTGGGGGTGACCTGCATGGCCGGATGGTCTCCTGTCCTCCAGCCGAGATGTACCAACACAGCTTTAATTGGTTCTCTGCCGCTCCCCTGCCACCCCAAATTGGGCACCAAATAGGTTAGGATTAAAATAGCTGGCAATTGTTAGGACAACGGGAAGAGATCTGAGTTGCATGGATTACGAGGGGATCGTCTCAGCCTTTCTCAGGGGAGGCGCCGCGTCCGGATTACCCGCGAAACATTCCTAGAGGCTGCTCAAAAGAGGCTTTGGGGCAGACAAAGGGCTGGGTTGAGAAAAACAGCTTGTGATATAGCATGGGGTTGGGATAAGGGAAGCGGCGGCGGCTGCATTTCAAAAAGGGAGGGGGGAATGGTATTAATCCCACCAGGCACATCCAAGACCTTCTCTTGGGAGGGTAGAGTAATTCGCTTGTAAATACATTAATGAATGAATCTAGGCTTTTAAATACCACATCACTTTCTCACTCCTAGGGCATATAGGAATTTGTTACAGTCTTCTGAAATTTGGGGGGGGGGGCAGGAAGCAAGATTCCTTCCTTTAGGGAAGGAATTGAAAATAACTCTTGATATAAAAATCTGCGGAACAGTGGAATACTGTGTACTGTTCCGAATGGATATTGTGGAGCTGTGGAAGGTGCAGAAATGAGCAAAAAAGAGCTTGCTGGATCAGGCCCATGGCCCATCTAGTTCAGCATCTTGTTCTTACAGGTGCCAACCAGATGCCCCAATGGGAAATCCACAGGCAGGACCTGAGCATAAGAGCCCTCTCCCCTCCTTGGGTCTCCAGCAACTGGTATTCAGAAGCATGGCTGCCTCCAACCATGGAAGCAGACTATATTCATCATGGCTAGCAGACAGCCTTATAGAATCCTAGAGTTGGAAGGGACCCCAGGGTCATCTAGTCCAGCCTCCTGCAATGCCGGAATCTCAACTAAAGCATCCATGACAAATGGCCACCCAACCTCTGCTTCAAAATCTGCAAGGAAGGAGAGTCCGCTGCCTCCTGAGGGAGACCGTTCCACTGTCGAACGGCTCTTACTGTCAGAAAGTTCTTTTCTGTCGTTTAGTCTGAATCACCTATCACTTGAAGCCGTTGGTTTGTGTCCTACCCTCCATAGTTTAACGATGTGCTGCATGGAGTGTGGTTTTTTTCTGTCTGGAACCTTCCAACATTCAGCTTCATTGGATATCTGAGTTCTTGTGTTAAGGTAAAGGGACCCCTGACCATTAGATCCAGTCGTGACCGACTCTGGGGTTGGGGCGCTCATCTTGCTTTACTGGCCGAGGGAGCCGGCGTACAGCTTCCGGGTCATGTGGCCAGCAGGACTAAGCCGCTTCTGGTGAACCAGAGCAGTGCACAGAAACACCGTTTACCTTCCCGCCGGAGCAGTACCTATTTATCTACTTGCACTTTGACGTGCTTTTGAACTGCTAGGTTGGCAGGAGCAGGGACCGAGCAACGGGAGCTCACCCCGTCGTGGGGATTTGAACCGCCAACCTTCTGATCAGCAAGTCCTAGGCTCTGTGGTTTGTGTTAGGAGGGAGAAAAAACTTGTCTCTCTCCGCTTTCTCCATGCCATGCATAGTCCTATAAACTCCTATCATGTCGCCTTTTGCTTGCCTTTTTTCTAAACTGAAAATCCCCAAATGTTGCAACCTTTCCACATTCCTTTGAGCATTTTGATTGCCCTTTTCTGAACTTTTTCCAACTCTACACTATCCTTTTTGAGGTGAGGCGACTGGAACTGTACATATTATTCCAAGTTGTAGTTCAGCAACATTTGGAGGGCCAAAAGTTCCCCACAGCTGGTTTAGACTGCTGAGCTAGATCAACCAATGGCCTGAGACTGTATCAAGGCAGCTTCTTACACAAACTAAACACCCCTTTTTAGAAAAACAATTCTGCAAAAAAATAAGCAGTCTGGGCTTGCTAAGGTTCTCCCCCTCCTGCTTCTCAAGATCACTCTTCATAGACACACTCATGCAAGCTGATTCAATTCACTAAAAAATAAATAAATCAGTACTCACTTTGATGAGCTTATAAAAGGAAGTGGAAGTGAGCAAACTCAGAAAGAAACGTGGAAGACTTAGTCATTATCAGTCTTCCCTGCGGAAAAAGTGGGCTGTATGCTTTAAGTTGGTGGGTGCAATGTATAATTTAACCAAAATAATTTGGCTTTAAGATGGAGCTAAAGAAAGCTTACTCCAAGATGGCATCACCAAGTGGATCTGGGAACCAACCTGGAGAAAAACGCCTTACCTAGACTTTGCAAGTATGCTCAAATTTGAGCCTCTGCTGTTTGTCCCTCCAAATGGTCTCGCTAACATTTTTGGAACCTCGCTGCCTCCTTCCCTTCCACCCAAAGTAGGCATGTCTGAGGCTGCATGTGTTCTCTGGAATTTTCCTGGAGCTTCATATCATGCAAGGGGAAGGTGAAAGCTGCAGTCTAAAAATGCTGATTCCCAGCATATTTCCTCCGCGGAAATTGCTCAGCCGTTAAGATATGAAAATGAGAAAAAACAAAAGGACTAGTTCTACATAGTGGGTGATGTCCAGTGTTAATCGTACTCATAGTAGACCTACTGAAACCAAGGGACTTAAGAGACTTAAAGGCAACAATTAAAATAGGTCTGTTACTCCAGTGTAGGTAGATGTATTAAATGCATGAAAACATGAAACTTTTAAAAAAGCAATCATTTAAAAATAGAAATATGCAGGAATTCTTGCTCAGGGTCAAGACTGCAGTGCAAAACGGGTGTTTGCTTTTAATTAGTTTGACCCAAAAGCTGGATGGATGCAAAATCAGTTCCTTTATACCCTAAGCCTATCTTAGTGTCGCCTAACTTTCACGATGTTAAACATATGTTGAGGACTAAACTGTTTTATTAAGAGATTAACTCTGCGACCAGCTTTCAGTAAGAACCCATTCAGTTTCATCTCTCCTCTTGCCAAGTTCATTCTGATATGCCCTACGTTTTTCTCCCCATTGCTTTAGTTTGGCAGATTCCCCCCACCCCTCTCAAAGCTTTCTGATCTGGCACCAGGCTTAATTCCCAGAGACTAGTGTGGGGATTTGCCAACCTGGTATTGCTGAGACTACAACTCCCATGATCCTTGACCCTTTGGGCCATGCTGGCCGAGGCTGATGGGGCTGGAGTCCCCCCACCATGCTGACAGACTACAGCTAGCTGGGGATCAGTGGGGGCTTGATCTGCAGGTGTGGCTTGTGCCAAATCAGAAGTTTCCAATGTGTGGAAAGAACCCTTGGCAAAGAAGGACCCCAAAGCAGACGCCTTATGCCATGTCAAGACTATTTGCCCATCTAGCTGGCTAAACTGAGCTAGTAGCTCCATATTGTCTCCTCTGACTGGCAACAGCTCTCCAGGGTTGCCGGCAGAGAGGTGGGAGGGGAGTGTCTCCTCCCACCCCCCCACTGCCTCATTCATTTGTTGGCAATATGTTTTGCAGTTTGCCAGCAATTTATGCATCAATAATATCAATACAGGACACCGAAGCTCATTCAGCAAAGTGTTTTTATTCAAACGCTCCATAGCACCAGGTAGTTGTAGATGGCATTCAAATAAAAACGCAGCCATTTTTTAAAAATCCCATTTTACCCAGGAACTGGGCATTCTGGAATGTAGCCTTTGCAGCCACTCTTTCAGTTGGTTCAGCTGAGCCTCAGTGGTGGTTATGGGGGGGGGGATCCCCTGGGCTGTGATTCAGGTGCTCCAGGGAGAAGGCTGTTAAATTCAGACCACATCTCAGTTGGAAAAGACAAGACAGATGAAGATCATGTAGGAAGTGGGCAGCATCGTGCACCATGGGTTATATGCCTCTCTCCACAAGCAAGCAGCCAAGCAGCTCAAAATCACAACCAACAAGCAATTAATCTCCACTTGGTGGCCCTTTGTGGTACGCAATCACCCCAATCACCCCCCCCACCCATCTTTTTCTATACAAGGTTTCCGTGAAAGAATCATTTTTAAAACGAGTATATGAATAAAATAATTTTAGAGGGTGTTTTTAAAAAAAAGAAAAGAAAAAAGGATTATACTACAATGAAAAGCACACATGTCGACGCAAAGGTTGCAGAGTAGCCCCGTCCACAGAAAAGCACTGTTTCCTCTGAAGATCCACAGGGCACCACTCTTCAAGACTGGCACCTCAAGTGGGAGTTTGCTCATGGGGCCACTTGGCGTTGGCTCCTGGCCCTCCAGATCCCCCCCCACATGCTTGCTTCAAGGTTGACCAGAAGGAGGCAGTAGAGAGCCCCCTCAACACACACACACACCAGTTCACTTAGCCAGAGCGCCCATGGGGTCCCATGCAGGCAAGACAACTGGCTCCTGGTGCATCACAGCTAAGACGTCCTCTGGCACATACTTCCTGTCCACCACCACTTCGTAGACGTACTCTGAGAACCAGTCATCAGTCATGATAAGGTAACCTGGAGAAGAGGAGGACGGGACAAGGTCTATTAAGTGATGCTCAGCTTAAGAGGTGCCACCTACAGTGATCTGCCCTGGGGGACCCCTGCCCTCTATGCCACACTGAAATCTAAGAGGGCAGCCCCCCAAAAAACTGCATGGAGGTAGACTGCTTCTGAACATTAAGGACCCATTAATTTTCACAGCTAATGAGGCCTTTGGTTGAACAATTAAATACAGGCCCCTTCCCTTGCTTTGCACCAGCGGACTGGGTGGTGCTTGCAATGTCAAATGTGCTTTGGGGAGGGAAACAGGCAAACCAAGCTCAAACTGCCATCCCATATCAAATTCCTCCCCGGAACATTTTTCTGCCTTTCCTCTGCATCAAGAAACACCACAAGTCAAAAACCTACAAGGAACAGATGAGGTCTCATGTGGTGTCTCTTGTATTTGTGTTTGGAAGCAAAACCCAGGAGCTTCCAAAAACACCACTTTACAAACCCAGAGTTTTTGGAAATTCCTGAGTGACCGAGGATTGGCCTTTCAGGTTTCCTGTAGTGGCTTTGCCTCTGCAATTAACAGGTCAGATGCTCCAACCCTGTCTAAGATCTGACCTTGCCTTTCAACAACAGGATCACAATGCTAAGCTGGTAAACCCAGACCAGGCGATCTGGACCCAAAGCACCGTACAAAAGGGTTAAGCATTTCCTCCATAACTCATCCTCCTCCAGCTAAGCCCCTGAGTCTAATCTTGCCTCTGTTGTTTCAGGCAATACTCTATCAACCCTCTTCGAGAACTGACGTTGGGGCTTGTTATTTTAATGCCTCCACGCCTAGCCAAGCCTGAGTGCCAAATCTAACATCCTCATTCTTCACCTCTTCCTTAAACAAGGGGCCTGCCAGAATGCTGCTTGGCCTTCCCACACAAGCCCAGGCTTTTTCAAGAGGCCAGCTATCCCCAAAACCCTCTCCGAGGGCCATATCTGCAAATGACGACTTTGGAGCAGCAGCTAGAGGTCTGCCCTGGAGGATGTGGCGTGGGAAAGCAGCTAGAAGAGGAGTCCCAAAAACATGGGTGTGGGATGCTAAGAACTCATTTGGAAACCTAAGAAACTATTTCACAGGTTCTGCAAAATAGCCCTTCCACAGAGTAAAAACTGGAAATACTCAAACACCTCCTATGTAGCACACCTACACATGCCCCCCAAAGAAAACATGTATTAAAAAAAGCAGGTAAACTAGCCAAAAAAATAGGCACCCACCCCCCGCAAACATAGAAGGCCCAAAACACTATTTTAAAGTAAGGTTAGAATTGGGAGGGGAGGGGCGAAGCTGGCACCAACATCGGAGGGTTCCCACAGGCATCGCACTGCAGACCCCAGCCTTAGAGCCAGGAAGCCCTCCGGACAATCTCGCCCCAAGCAAGACAGATTTGGTTAGGTGGTGTCTTAAGCTAGCAACTGCTCTTCTCAGACTCAGCACACCCAGCTGCAATGCAGAAATAATGTTAGTACAGTAGTACCTCAGGTTACGTACTTAATTCATACTGAAACTGTTCTTAACCTGAAGCACCACTTTAGCTAATGGGGCCTCCTGCTGCTGCTGCGCCGCCAGAGCATGATTTCTGTTCTCATCCTGAAGCAAAGTTCTTAACCCGAGGTAATACTTCTGGGTTAGCGGAGTCTTTAACCTGAAGCGTATGTAACCCGAGGTACCACTGTAGTACTAACTGCTGCTGCCCTGTTTTATAGGCCTGCGTTGTAAGAATCACTAAGACAGAGGACTCAGGCTTGGCCAAATTCTGTGCCTGCAATACACATGTATTGAATCAATGCCCAAGACACATTCTGCAAGCAACCCGCACCGTCCTTACAGAAGGAACAATGCCAGTCGCCTTGGCCAGCCTTCAGGCAGTGAGCCTGGGGCAAGCTGCTCTCTTCTTCAGCCTGACACCCCCCCCCCCATGGAGGCCTACCTTGCAGGGCAGAGAGGCTGTAAAGCATTTTGTCTGCTTGGTAAATGGAAAAGAGCAGCTGCAACCAGGGTTGGCCATTGCAAGGGACTGATTGGGCAGAGGTGGCGAGAGGACTCTGCTTGGCCCCCATCGTGAGAGGCCCCCAAAGTCTGTTCAGGGGCAAGTCCTGAGCCCCATTCAAGCCCCATTCATTAAAAGCAGGCTTTGCCTCTGAGTGGGAGTGAGACTTCCACGTAGAACAGCAAGAGGCTAAGAAGCTCAAGGAATCAAGCTCACGCCTCCTGGCTGCCCTGCCAGGAGGCTGGAGAAGGTAAACTCTGAGGAATGCCGGTAATCTGTCTCGCTTTCACCGGGTTATTTTTAAACTTTGAAAGCTCAAAGTGGTTTGCACTCGTCTCTTGTGGCTGATGGCAGGAGTGTGTGTGTGTTTTTTTAACTGCTGGAGCAACTCTGGGTTTTAGCACGCTCATAAAACAGATGGGTAAACGAAGGGCTAAGAATAGCTGTGCCTTGACCTCAAGGCGGCTTTTTTGGGAAGCGGGGGTGAGGGCCACCTGTGCGCCTGGATCATTGAGATAGTCCTGCGCCTGCTGTTCCACGAAAGCTCTTGTTATGCAAACAGAAGCTCCAGTCTCAATGGGAGACACTGGTACACGCAGAAAAGTCCTTGGCTCTTTGAAATGACCATGGATAGCATAAAGGCTCGAGGTGGGCCCTTGTCTTCCACCAACTCCCAGGGAAGTGAAGAGGGAAACGGAACACATGTGGCAGCTACAATTCTGCTAGACAAAGACGCTGCTTCTTGTCATCCCAATCGCACAACCAACAGCAAAAGTTTCCCCCACTGGAGGCTGTTCGAAGAAGGGTAATGAACTTTTCTACACAAAATGAGATTACATCAAGAGCTTAAAGGAACGGCAGCCCAGTCAGTGCTCATGTGCGCTCTCTCTCTCTCTCTCTCTCTCTCTCTCTGCAATAAACCCAACGCAGGAATTCTATAATCTCTGCCTTATGACCCCAGAGTAATTAAAAGGAGGCGGGGGACACACACAGCCCAATGGCGATCCTGGCAGAGTGTGCAGAACACAGAGATGGAAGGAGGGAGGTCCAGGAGCCTCATCACAAACCCAGGAAAATTCAGCATTTGGAAGAGACCCCAGGTTGGAGAGGCCTGAAGTGATGGAGGGCAAAAGGGAAGAATTCACTGACCACCAGCCTGTCAGGATTCTGCTAAGGCAGAGAGGCAGGGCAAAACTGCATAAGCTTCGAGTGCTAAACTGGCCCAGAATTAAGCTTGCTATCCCAATATACATGCTGTTGAGAATCATAGTACTGGAAGGGACATCTGGAAGTCATCTAGTCCAACCCTCCTCCCCCAAAATCCAGACAACCCCCCTGATGCAAAATGAAAGGAGGCCAGCATCCGCATTAGCAACACATTACCTTTATTCCCGCGGTCTTCGCCCCATGAGTTCTCCACGCGCCATTTTTCAAAGCAGCCCTCTTGCTCTGGCTGGAAAGAGGGGGAAATGCAGGGGTCAGCAGGAGGAAGAGCCCTGCAGAAAAGCTTCCATCTCCCCTGGCCAGGCAGATTTACACTTGCGTGTGGATTTATAGCAGAGAAATAAAATGCCTCCCTTACCTGACAGATGACACCTGCGCTTTCATTTCACAAACTGCTGTGAAAGCGTCCCTCACCCGTGCCTTTACAACCCCAAATGCTAATAGCCTGGTATCTGGATCACATAAGGAGTTCTACAGTGTGGAGAATATTGCAGGCCTAGCTAGACATGTACTTTTATTGTGGATATTTTATACAGTGTATATATAAAGCTGCTGATTTTATCAATATTTTGATAAATTGGAGAGTGGGAAGACCCTGTAACCCACTTTGAGGTCCTTGCAGGGAGGATCTACATGTGGCAATAAATAAAATAAATCATGCTACAGTACTTTTAAAGACTTTGGGTCCAAACTGTGCTCAGGTCCATACGAGGCAGCTGGAAGAGATGGTGGCAAGAACCTCTGAAGGCCTGACTGGAATTACTTTCAAGCTCTTAAAATTCAATCAAGCCACATTTAGCTTAGTTTTGAATGCTGGCAAGGATTAAACGTCCATCATGGGAAAAGAAAATTACATCACAGTTGTAGTTAAAACCTGTCTGCACAACAGGTATTTTTTTAAAAAAAGGGGGGGGGGAAGCCCCATGTTTTAATACCTGCTTTTAGCTTAAAGAAGCTTTTAGTGAGAATTATAAATCTGCCAACCGTTGGCAAAAACAGCCTAGGGGCATCGCGGCTTTTAATCTTGCCTTGCTCCTCTGTTTTAACGTTCTGGATTTCTGAGGTGAGGAGCCTCACCTTGTTTATAGACAAGCCCTTTCTAGCTAGCAAGGACCAAGCGGGGCAGAGTGGACTGAGCATCCCTCTTGGATTAAGGAGAGAGAGGAGGGTCAGATCTCATTGGGTTGACTGCCTGGTGGGCCTGTCTGGCTTTTAAAGTAATTCCATCGCTGTCTTTACTACCTTTCATCGTTGCTAGCCTTTGTAATATTTCTGTCTGTGAAACGGGAGACACATGGTAAATTTAGAAAGCTTTGGAAGGCTGTGTACCTGAAATGCATAATGTAAAATAACAACAAAGGATCCGCCATGGGATTGTGGTGGGGGTTGTGGAGTCCCTGTGCTGACTCTTGAGCTCCTTGGGGGAAGAGCAGGTGCCTCTGGGAAGGGGGGGGGGCGTTCGTGGCCTCAGTGCTATCGCCACCAGCATCATCCAGATATCAACGCTACACTTCTATGGTTCATCATAAAAGAACAATGGTCTTTGTAGACAAGGCACTTTAGAAGAGGGATGGGACCCTCCACCAGCTCCCAGCACCCCAGACCACTGGCCATGCTCCTGCTGAGGCAGGTGGGTGTTGGGAATCCAAGAGTCTCTGGAAAGTCACAGATGTTCTCTGCATGTTGTTCTCCTCTCAGTGGAAGCATCCCTCTGTCTCTCACATGTACGGAATACAACTTCTCAGAGCAGAGATGGGGAACCTTTGTCGCCCTCTAAGTGTTGCTGGACTGCTGTTCCCATCATCCCCTGACCAGGCTGGCTGGGGTGGATGGGAGATGGAGCCCAAAAACATTTGAGGGCCACAGGTTCTCTGTCCCTCTTTCAAAAGCACACACCGTCCCCAGGAGGATTCCATGAACAGGTTGTGCGTGCAATTTGTCTGGTTGACTGCCATATAGGTGGAAAGGAAGGGAAGGAACTCCATCACCCACCCTGCTGCCCCAACACCCACCTTCTCAGTGAAGGCAGTAATGACCATGGCGTGGGTCATCAGCGAATCCCCGAAGATCAGCCGCTCGTCCTTGTTCATGTTCTTGACTGACACGCCAAACACCAGCTTGTGGTTAAATCTACAAAGCAGCGCACACGAAATGCACGTTAAGTGTGGGGTTCAGAGAAAGTGCCTTCCCTAGTAATCCTAAATTGTGGAGTAAACACATTTATCAGGTCGTCTCCATGATCACTGCAGATGGTAACAGCAGCCACGAAATTAAAAGACACCTGCTCCTTGGGAGAAAAGCGATGGCAAACCTAGACAGCATCTTAAAAAGCAGAGACATCACCTTGCCAACAAAGGCCCATATAGTTAAAGCCATGGTTTTCCCAGTAGTGATATATGGAAGTGAGAGCTGGACCATAAAGAAGGCTGATTGCCGAAGAATGGATGCTTTTGAATTCTGGTGCTGGAGGAAACTCTTGAGAGTCCCATGGACTGCAAGAAGATCAAACCTATCCATTCTTAAGGAAATCAGCCCTGAGTGCTCACTGGAAGGACAGATCCTGAAGCTGAGGTTCTAATACTTTGGCCACCTCATGAGAAGAGAAGACTCTCTGGAAAAGACCCTGATGCTGGGAAAGATGGAGGGCACAAGGAGAAGGGGACGACAGAGGGCGAGATGGTGGGACAGTGTTCTTGAAGCTACAAACATGAGTTTGACCAAACTGCGGGAGGCAGTGGAAGACAGGAGTGCCTGGTGTGCTCTGGTCCAGGGGGTCACAAAGAGTTGGACACGACTAAACAACAACATACAGGAGCAGTTAAGCACAAGGTGCAGCAGATCTGCGGTCCAGGGGGCTCTGAGCTTGCGGAAGAACAAAGAAATGGAAGCAAAGCAAAGTTTGAGCTTGACGTGCACACCCCCAATCCCCAGGGGGACTGTGTGCAGGAACCCAGCCCTCTTCCCCCACCCCACAAGCACTTACATATTCATGTCATTGATGCCCAGTTTGCTGTTGAAGTGCTTCCCAACGTCACAACCAAACCACACGGCCTGAGGAGAGAGCAGGCGACAATCAGGACCCTTCAGTTGAAGCAAAGAGCAGGAAGACACTGTGCTAAGGAGCAAAACAAAGACAGGGGGGCAGGCCAAACCTCTCCATCCCGAATAGAAGCGGCTGCCAGTTTCTTCAGGAGCTCGATGGGCTGGTTGTTGTAAAGAGTCTTCCTGCCCCCCACCATGTTACTCAGGTACTCCACTGTGTAAAGCTGGTTGTATTGGTTCTGGGGCCGAGGGTCGTTCACCAGGCAAACCTGTTAAGTCAAAGGGCTGAGTTAGCGCAAGAAGTTAATTTCAAGGAGGTCACTCCTCCCAACTCTGCTGGACCCAGCAATAGCAGCCAACTAAAATGCTTGCAACAAGAGCATGGCCAAAGATGGCCATTTCTTGTATCTCCCCAGCAGGTGTTATTCAGGGGTAGGCTGCCACTGAACCTGGAGGTTCCATTTCAAACAAGATGGAAGTTTGGAAATAATATGAGGGGTGCCGTTTCTCAGCAGCAAATATCCTCTGCTAGACTCATCTCGGTTTTGATGTTCTGGGTCACAATTTTATCACCATCTGACCAAGCAATGCTTGGCCCCCAAATAAGAGATCTGGGGTTGGAAATCTGGTGGGCCTTTCTGTAAGGATTTCCAGCTAAACGTTAAAAAGAACTTTCTGATAGTAAGAGCTGTTCAGCAATGCAACTGACTACCTCGGAAGGTGATGGACTTCCCAGCATTTGTGGTTTTTCAACGGAGGTTGGGGGACCATCTGTCAGGGGTTCTTTCAGTTGAGATTCCAGGTTTGCAGGGGTTGGGCTAGATGACCTTTGGGGTGTCCCTTCCAACTCTACAATTCTATGATTTCAGCCATGCCACAACTTTCAAACAGACCGAAGAGGGGTCGTGGTATTAAACGAGAAGAAGGGAGCAACAAGAGACCGTGTGGGGTAGGGGCGTGTCTTATCCATTTCCAAAATCTAAAAAGGATCGCACAGACAGGGGGCCAATGATTGTCCACAGGCTGCCTTGTGTTTACCACATTGCCCAACCTTGCTTTCCATGTCGAAGATAGGCTTGACGTGCTCTTTGTAGAACTGCAGGGGCGAGATTGGCCCAATCTTGTGGTAGGTCTTCTCCTTGTCGTAGAACTCCCAGCAGAAGGAGTCCGGAGGGCTCCCCAGGCAGATGGTCACTATTCTGAACACCTGGGGAGGGAAAGCAGATTAGTGGAAGGTGGAACCCAGACGCCTCCCTTCAAATCGGCCAGAGGGAACTGATGCTTGTGACTCACAAACCCTCGTTTTGCTTAATTGCTCGCTATGCTTATAAGCTGCTGTTCCGCTGAAGGCATCAAGCTGGTTTATAGATTTTTGAACAGTGTGGAAACTAAGCAACATGACACAGGAGGCAAAAAGGAACAGAAGGGGAGAGGAAATCTATGGGCTCTTTCATTCTGCTCCCTAAGTTACACAATGGTCAGGTGGAATGGCCACCAGTTTGATGGAGGCAGTTCTGGGAGAAGAGACCGGGAAGCCAGCATGGAGCTGGACAACAGCAAAAAAAATGATATACGTTGTTGTCTGCTGCCCTCTAGTGCAGGCACCCTGGACGGACACTTAGGGAGGCACCAAGGGCTTTCCAGAAATGCAGTGAAGGACAATGCAACTCCTGTAAAAAAGTAAAATTAAAACAGCCTGACACACCTTTCCTCTTGGCAGCTTTGGCAAGAGAGAGAGAAGAAAGGGTGCAGCTGGGTAGACAATCTGCCCCTCCAAATTGTAAAGAGCACAACCAAAGTGCATTCACAGTGGATCTCTGCATCTCTCTGTTAAGGCGCCACTTTCAGAGCTGCAAAGGCTGGTGCAAGCTGTGCTCAGTTATGAGAAGCAACATGAGAATGAGAAGCATGAGAATGAGAAGCATCATGACTGGGGCCCGGGGGGGGGGAGAGAAAGAGGGGGCAGGGACAGAAAATCTCTTTTTACTCAGCCATCGCATTCGCCCCTGCACCAAGAGCAGCTGACCTCCTCTATCATGGTGTCCACGGCTGCAGAGAGCTCATCCTTGTTGCATCCAGTCTCTACCATATTCCTCAGCCGCAGGCAATACTCTCGCATCTGTTTGGAAGAAAAGAAAAGCGGGAAAAGCAAGTTCTAAATGGCAATCTCTGTGGCACGCTATCAACACGCTCCAAGTTCAGGGTGCTGGAGCAGGCAAGATGGCTGAGATGGCTGATGGGGGATGCAGCCCAGAACGTCTGGAGAGCACCAGGCTAGAATTTACCTTTAAACAGATTGGAAAGGAAAGATTCAGCGCCCATGGGTTTGGACCTTAGCAAGCAATGGCAGGTGTCAGCATCTGAACAGGAAGGTTGTGAAAACTATGTCAGCTCATTGTGTGTGTGGAGCGGCAGGTGTGTCCAAAAGCCCACCTCAGATCTTAAGGGCTTTAACAGGCTTTACAGGGACTCATCTGTTCGCCTGTGGCGAACCTGGTCTTATTGGCAAGCCACCAGACAGGGAAGATTCACTTAGCATCCTTTTTCTCAGGTCATCAGTGTGCTACATAGGATACCTTCAGGCAACTAAACCTTTCCATGGGGCTTGATCATTTTTACGGGCTTATTTACAAGCCTGAGCTTAAGTTTCCAAACTGGTGAGAAGACGAATGATTTTAGAGATGGTAACACTCTATCCACACACACACACACACCCATGCACACGCGCGCGCACACACACACACTTTAGTTACCTTGTGGTTCAGAATGTCATTCATTCGTCTGGAGGCCTCAGTGGTGTGTGATTCAGGGAAAACCTTCTTGGGGACTACGCCGTATTTTTCTAGGAAGGAACAAGTTTTAGTAACTGACCAGAACCGATGGGCCGAAGGAAAGATCGTTCTGCCTGCTGCACTCAGTTTACGCTGTGTGAAATAAGCACAGATCTTGACACAATGAAACTGTTTCCAGGCTACTTCTGTCCTCCCACATCCTTAGTCCGGGAGAGCCTTCTCACCTGTGGTGCACCCAGGTCCAGTCCTCAGCATCACCAATTAAAGGGCTCAGGGTAATGTATGCTGGACTTGCCTGAGAGCTTGGACATACCCTGCTGGGCAGCCTGACTCCACCATCGATTAGGTGCATAAGCTCAATGCATACATTTTTTTAAAACTACATAAGAGGGTACCAGACTGAAGATCCTGTGGGGATCTCAGAGAGAAAGGACTCTGACTCCGTCTTATACTGCAACTGTCCACCTCGTCAGAAGACGTTCAAAAGATTTTGCGATTCCAGCCCCACCCAAGGAATTCTGTAATCCCAACTCCCGATTTCCTGGTCTTGGCTGAGCAGCCCCCTCCTCCAAGCTGCTTAAGTTGCTGCATCCTCTGCCCAGGAACCTAGGTGGACTACAAAGTGCCTTGGCCTCAGCTTCTCTTACCAATGAGGTTCACGAGCATGTCCCACTGCCCGCCGTCATTGCAGGGATTGGAGAGCAGGAACTGCACCAGCCTCCCCTCCACAGGCTCCTTCTTCTGAGCTGTTTCCACATATGCATGCAAGAAGTAGTAACAGCGTTCAACCTGGAAATAATCCAGTCAGAATGCAGTCAGAAACCAGGTCCATTGAGCCCTGGTAGACTTCAAGCTAACCCACCCCGCCTTAACCTTCTGGCCTTTTTACAGCTAGGATGGCCCACTTAGTGGTGGCCCCCTGGTTATTATTTAGTTAGTTATAGAATCGATTACCTGCCATCAGGTACAATAAAATGTAAAGATCAATTAGAACTAAGACATACTGTAATACAATGGGTCAGGTGTGCTTTCAGCATGCAATGATAGCTGTGCAATGAGGACACCATTCTGTGGGGAGGGAAGTCCACAGAGAATGTCCCTTCCTGGGCTGCTGCCCCCCCCAAAGGTTTCTGATGATGGCAGCTCAAGGCAGAAGCCTGAATGGCACCCCTGCTTACAGAAAGAAGCAGACCAGTCTGCTGTGTTTTCCTCAAAGCAGGAGAGGGGAATCTCAAGCCCTCCAGATGAGTCTGGACCCTAATTTTCACCATCTCTCAAAACTCATAACATCCAAATAGCCACAGGTTCCCCACCCTAGCACCTAAACAAAGCCTTAAGAAAGCACCTCTGAGAGCCAGGGTGGCATGGCGGTTAAGAGTGTTGGCCTAGGACCTCACTCAGGCATGCTTTCTGGGGTGGCCTTGGGCCAGTCACCATCTCTCAGCCCAGTGTACTTCACAGGGGGTAAAATGTGGATGGTGGGAAATCATGTGTGCCACCTTGAATTCCTTGGAGGTGGGATATAAATGCAAGATGCAGAAGGGCAGTTAAATACAATTTGAAGCACCTTGTCCCAGAAGAAGAGGTACGACTGGCTGAACTCGAACTCCTCCGTGTTGAACTTCTTCATGAAGGGGAGGCGCATCACGTTCAGGCAGGAGAAGATCCAGCAGCGTCCTAGGGGTCAGAGGAGCACAGCGGAGATGGGCATCGCAAAGTATTAAAATGGGACGTGCAATCTCAAGGGAGGTGGCCATTACCTGAGTTCTTTTGATTGGTGATGGGCTTGCCTTCAGCAGGTACCATGTGCTGGAAGACCTGCAGCGTGTCCTGCACCACAGCCCGCTCCAGGCACACCTCCAGGGGGTCTGCGCACGTGGCCACATTCTGGGCCAACAAGTACCGGGGTTCAGCTTTCAGGGCTTGGGCGAAAGCTGAAGATTTTTTCAGGCTCAACCCTGCTAAGACAAAACAGGACAGTCGATTCAGGACAGTTGATTCTGAAAGTCAGCAACACAGGGCACACATGGAGAAAACAGAACAAGGTTGTGCTCAGGAAGGACGCTGGAAGCTCATCACAGGTGTCTGCAGACATGGTTGATGCTGATATCACTCATGGCGTGGCAGGGAAAGTCCTCTGTCTCTTCTCAGAGACACTCTTATTACTCATTGTAGAATTTCTTTTAAAAATCAATCAGCAGGCTTTTAATATAATGTTAGTGTGTTCAGCTGTTGTTTTTAATTGCCTGGTATGTTTTTTTTTCCATTTTAGGATTGCTATATGTCAGTGTTTCCCAACCTTTTTTGGGCAAAGGCACACTTGTTTCATGAAAAAAATCTCGAGGCACACCACCATTAGAAAATGTTAAAAAATTTAACTCTGTGCCTATATTGACTATATAAAAAGTACAGTGGTGCCTCGCAAGACAAAATTAATTCGTTCCGCAAGTCTCTTCGTCTTGCGAGTTTTTCGTCTTGCGATGCACGGTTTCCCATAGGAATGCATTGAAAATCAATTAATGCGTTCCTAGGGAAACCGCCTTCAGACCAGGTCCGGGGACAGTCTGTCCCCCGACCTCTTCTGAAGGCTGGGGGGGGGGGACAAGGGCTTTTCTTCCCACTGCCAGCCTTCAGAAGGCTGTTCTGAAGGCTGGCGGTGGGAAGAAAAGCCCTTCTTCCCACCTCCCGCCCCGCAAGCTCCGGGGACAGGAGGGCTTTGCTGCCGACCGCCAGCATTTTAAAAGCCCCTGCTGTCCCGGGGCGATTTTAAAATGCTGGCGGGCGGGAGCGAAGTCTCCGTTGCCCCGAGGAGATTTTAAAATGCTGGGGGTCGGCAGCGAACGCTTCGCTCCCACCCGCCAGCATTTTAAGATCGCCCGGGGCAGCGGAGAAGTCTCCGCTGTCCCGGGAAGGCAGGCGGGGGAGCAAAGACTTTTGCCCCCGCCTGCCTTCAGAAGAGGTCCAGGACCTCGTTCCGATGCCCGGCAGCGGGGTGCGAGGTTCCCGCCCCACCGCCCGGCATCGGGGCATCGTTCCGATGCCGGGCGGCGGGGGGAGAGGTTCCCGCCCCACCGCCCGGCATCGGGGCATCGTTCCGATGCCCGGCGGCGGGGGGAGAGGTTCCCGCCCCACCGCCCGGCATCGGGGCATCGTTCCGATGCCCGGCGGCGGGGGGAGAGGTTCCCGCCCCACCGCCCGGCATCGGGGCATCGTTCCGATGCCGGGCGGCGGGGGGAGAGGTTCCCGCCCCACCGCCCGGCATCGGGGCATCGTTCCGATGCCCGGCGGCGGGGGGAGAGGTTCCCGCCCCACCGCCCGGCATCGGGGCATCGTTCCGATGCCTGCGGCGGGGTGCGAGGTTCCTGCCCCCCCGCCCCGCTTCGGAGCAGCGCTCCGAAGCGGGGCGGCTGGGGCAGGTGTTCCCGCCCCCCCGCCCCGCTTCGGAGCACCGGGAGAAGCGATCTCCCCGCAGCCCCTTGCTTCAAAAGAGGTCCGGGGGCAGCGGGGAAGAAGAGCTGCGCTTCCCGCTGTCCCCGGACCTCTTTTGAAGCAAGGGGCGGTGGGGAGAAGCGATCTCGGGCGCTGCGGCGCGCAGGCGCACTGCTCGCTCCTCTTTCCGCGCAGGCGCCTTCTCTCGCTCTTTCGCCTCCTTTTCTTTCTCTCTCGATGGTCCGCCTACAAAGGAGCGAGGGAGGCGCCCGCCATGTTTGGATTTGCATCCAGCAGGAGATGCCGCCGCCGCCCCGCCTCTCCCGCCTCCCTCCCACGGCACACCAGGCAAGGTCTCACGGCACACTGGTGTGCCGCGGAACACCGGTTGGGAAACACTGCTATATGTATCATTTGCCTATTTTTATTGTGCTTATTTACTTAGAAGATTTGTAAGCCATTTAACCAAAGAGCAGTCTCCAATAAAACAGTAGACGAAACACAAACAAAGAAACTAACCTGAAAACAAATATACATAAAACCATCATAATAAAAGCTGCAGTTAAAAATCAGTAAAACTTTTAAACAATTATAAGCAACCAGATTAACTTTTTTGCTAGCTCTCTTGTGTGTTTTTAAACCGAAAACCAGAGTAGATTATAATGATGATGATGATTTAAGTAATGAAATCCAGCAATCTCAAAACAGATCCTGAGGTTACACATTTGCCTCACTGCAATTATTCCCTTTCCAATTTCCCCCTCCCTTCAAACTTCTTGCTTTGTCTTATAGTAATAACAGGGGATAGATAAAGATTTCTGTGTTACATGTGGCCTGAAAATAGAATAGGCAAATATTCCTGTTCATGAGTGTCTGCAGGATTTCCCCCCTCAGGCCTGGGGGTGGGGGCAAAGTAAAGCACTAAAAATGACGAGGGGGAGGGGAGCAGGCTAGATTCCCACCAAAGACGAGACCAGCATCTGTCCATTTTGCTTATCCCTCTGGTTCTACAAATGCTAGAAACTCGCTCTTTCTTTTTAAAATAAAAGCTGGGAATCTGCAGGTGTGCAGGCTCCTACGCGAAGTAGACTTCAGCAAAAACAACTTTTTGTGAAATGTATTCTAACGCTATGCAAATATTTCTGCCTTCAGTATCTATATTATTAGGCAATGCTGCCCTCCACCTTCTTAAGGGTGTGAAACTGTTCCAGATCCACTCCTGTAATCACAAGGCCTTGCTTCGTGCCAAAGACACGTTTCCTAATAGTGCCTCACCCAAGCACAGCTAATTGCCATGTTGCCAGGGTGGCTGAATTTCAATGCATGCTTATTTTGACATAAAGATGTTTGACAAAAAGTAGATAAAACTTAGAAAAGAACTGTCGTTTCCCAAAGGCAAGAGGACTTTTAATTTCATATATATCTTGTCACTGGAACATAGGAAGCTAGCTTACCCTAAATCAGGCCATTGGTTTATCTAGCTCAGTACAGTGGTACCTCGGGTTACGTACTTAATTCATTCCAGAGGTCCGTTCTTAACCTGAAACTGTTCTTAACCTGAAGCACCACTTTAGCTAATGGGGCCTCCCGCTGCTGCCGCGCCGCCGGAGCACGATTCCTGTTCTCATCCTGAAGCTAAGTTCTTAACCTGAGGTAATATTTCTGGGTTAGCAGAGTCTGTAACCTGAAGCATATGTAACCTGAAGGATTTCAGAACTGTCTTTCTCAGCCCTAAGAGGATTTAAACCCCAGACCTTCTGTGTGCAAAGCAGGGGCCCTACCACTAAGCTACAACCTGTATCTAAGAATACAGTCCCTAAAATGCAAGTGGCGTAAGAAAAACAGAGTCAAGGTGATTCATCAGTAAAGGATATAGGTTCAGATCTGCAGCCAGCCTAGGTGATCTTGGTTCCAGTAGCTATCTCTTGGGCTAAACTACTTTGCAAGGTTGTTGTGAGAATAAAAAGGAGGAAGGCAGAGAGATAGTTACTGGAACCAAGATCACCTAAGTGAGCATCTGGCTGGCTGCAGATCTGAACCTATTTCCTTTATTGACAAATCACATTGACTCTGTTTGGGTTGGCTGGTGGGTATGAACCCAGGACTTATTCCGCTGCAGTGGCCAAATTACAGAGCGGCCTGGCTTCCTCGTGGGTCCCTTTTAAACCAGCTTTCTAAGCAAGACCACAGAAGGTACCGTTTTATTCCGACAGGCTTTTGGGAACTAACTGCTCTTAAGGAAAGGGCTTTTAATAGCGCTCTGCTGTTTTTGCTACCGGGTTTTTGACAGATTTGTTTTTACATCGTTTCGATTCCATTATCATCTTAATTACTTCTTAACTATTATCTTTCATATGTTTTTAGTGATCTGTGTTTTATCTTCATTTGTTTTAATTCTTGCAAGCTGCCTCCAGTTCCTCAAGGTTCTGGAGGAAATTACTACTACTACTAATTATTATTACTCACAAGTAGCATGCAAACCACACACTGTCCTTCCCACAGTTCCTGCCTGCCTATGGCTGCCGGGTGCCTTGTTAAGTCTAAGGGCTCTTTTAATGAGGTGCTAAATTCAGCCTTCTTTCATCAGACAACTACTTTTCATGTATAGCCTGCAGGGTTAGTTGCTTCCTTTATTTCTCTGACATTTATACCCAGGCTTTTCTGCTTAAGTTGTCGAGTCTGCCCACCGCTCAACAAACAAGCCACCCATTCTCAATAATAAAAATCAGATTATTAATAAAAACCAGAGATCGACTAAAGCAGGGAGAAGGGGTGGGGAGCCTACAGGCGCCGGGGCGGAAATCGGACTAGGAAGGGGCGCTTCCTTCAACCCCAGGAATCTGGGAAGGGGGAGGCACTCTGCACATGCTCAGGGACACGCTCCCTCGGCGGTGCAATCCTCTCCTCGCGAAATTGGCCGGGACCGAAGGGTGTGTGGGTGGGAAACAGGTGCCGGGGCTGAATCCTGGGGCCCCGCGGCTCGACGGCGCCTGTTGACCCCCCCACCCCCCAAAAAAGCAACAGCAGCCTCCCGTTGCCATGGCAACCCCGCGCCCGGCCTTTCCCACCCCCAGCAGGCCTCTGCCGTTCCCATGGCAACCGCACACACACGCACCTGGGAGACTCATCGCGGGTCTTTCGGCCGCAGCAGCGCGAGCCACCGAGGAGGAAAACCAAGGCCGGGCGCCGGCGCCGGAAGCAGCTCTTTTATAGCCTCGGAAGCAGGAAGCCGGGCCCGCGACGGAGCGCGGCGAAGGACAAACCTCCTGCGCTGTCCTTCGCGGGTTGTCTTCCCCACACCCGTTAGAGGGGCGGAGGGAGTTTCGGGGGGGCACGCCTCTTAAAGGAGCCGTTCAGCTTTCTAGCTGTTACAGGTACTGTACTTGGAATATTATTGTTGTTGTTGTTGTTGTTATTATTCATTTTCCAAGGCGGCTTACACAATTCCATACAACACAGATAATATACAAAAAGCTAAAAAAAAAGGCAGTAGAAGCTAATCGCTAAAAAGTTAATTAAATAAACGCTAATATAGAGCTCTCCAAACTGTGTCTTGACACGTGTGTCTGCTGCAGTGTGTAGGTGTGTCATGCAAACGCTCCCTGCACTCCTCCCGGGGCTGGAAGGGGGTTGGTTTAACCTCCGGTTTGCTAGTAAAACTGAATTACTGTGTCGCGAAATGATGCATGTCTAAAATGTGTGTCACCAACATGAAAAGTGTGGAAAGCTCTGCTCTAATAGAATTAAAACAAGATTTTTTTAAATAAAAAATCTTAAAATGCAGAGGATAATGAAAACAATAAACACAGTACTGTTAAAATACATTTCCTTAAAAAGCAGTGAGTTCCCATCCAGCCTTGCTCCCCCCTCCCCATTCCTTGCATGGAGAGGGAAAGAAGATGATGTTTGCTTACAACAGAGATGTTGCTGGTGTTCCTATTGTTATAAGAAATTATCGTAAGATTAATGAAAACGGGCATGATAGCTGCTAAGTTACCGGTACATCTGGTAGAAAGGTAACAAATGGGTTTCCCTTCCTTCTTCAAAGCGTCAAGGGAGCTCTGACAGCGCCACCTAATGTGCCTATAATGAATAACACCGACCAATTCACAATGTCAAACCATTTTATTCAATGGATGGCCGAGGCTCATTCATAAGCCGTCAAGTAGTGTTTCCATATACAGTGGTATCTCAGGTTACAGATGCTTCAGGTTACAGACTCCGCTAACCCAGAAATAGTGCTTCAGGTTAAGAACTTTGCTTCAGGATGAGAACAGAAATCGTGCTCCGGCAGCGCGGCGGCGGCAGGAGGCCCCATTAGCTAAAGTGGTGCTTAAGGTTAAGAACAGTTTCAGGTTAAGAACGGACCTCCGGAACGAATTAAGTACTTAACCCGAGGTACCACTGTACATCGCATAATGCCCTCTTTACACAGTATGTACATACACCAAAGAACCACCATAGATAAAACAATCGTTTATTATTTAGACAAAGGATAAGATAATGAATTAAGTCTATACATTCTATACGTTGTTAAGCTGACACCCCCAAGCCTTAGACCAGGCATAGGCAAACGCGGCCCTCCAGATGTTTTAGGCCTACAACTCCCATGATCCCTAGCTAACAGGACCAGTGGTCAGGAATGATGGGAATTGTAGTCCCAAAACATCTGGAGGGCTGAGTTTGCTTATGCCTGCCTTAGACTCTTTGAGCACTTCCTCTTTGCATTCTTAAGGGTGGGCTTGTTCCTGTGAAGGGTAATAACAATGAGTAATCGTTAGCATGTTATAGACATCAGGATGAGCGATAATAGAACTGGCAGGAAAACCTTTTGGGGTGACAGACAGAAAAGCAAGCATGCCTGCCTCTCCTTTTGTCTCTCTGTTTAAATGGTCATATAAATGTTAAATAAAACCCCGGACACCCGAGGTGTTGGTGACTTACCTGTATGCTGTGAAACTTACCTGTAACTCTATCTGATGTACCTCCCTTCTATGATATATTTCTGATGCTCTTGGTGGGTGGGCTGCGGGGAGATCGATCTATGGATCAGAGGGTATAAAAATTCTGGTTTCCTTTTGTTTGGGGTTTTCCTCCCTCCTGCGTGCGGTGAGTGGGGACCCTGTTGCAACAGTTTATTTCCTATCAAATAAAGATCAGGCTTACTAGCTGCTTTCAGTATACCTTGGTAGGCCCCTGCTTTTGTCTCCTACTGATAAAGACCTCCCGAGGGACTCTTATTTGGGCTCTGTAAGGGAATCAAAGGAATTTCTTACAACACTATCATCTCTGGCCAATGGGCATGCTGGGCTGAGCCAATGGGAATTGGACTCTACACAGCATCCAGAATGGCCACACGCTCCCCTGGACTAGCCTTCCCCCAACTAGGTGCCTTCCAGGTGTTGTGGACTATAACTCCCATCCGCCCCCAGCTGGGAGTTATAGTCCACAGCACCTGGAAGGCACCTGGTTATGGGAAGGCTGCTTTGGGCTGAGCTAGCTGGGCTCTTACTCATCTTCCACACCTCCGCAATTGCTTTATTTTTATGATCCACCATAAAAGTTTTGGTTTGGCAGCTTGGAACAGATAAAATGAGCCAGCTAGACTTTGACCCTGTAAAAAAAAAGAGGGTGTAACCAGGGGGGAATATATACTTGTGTGTGAGAGAGAGACTTGACGTCTCCTTGAGGCTTCACTTACTCACTATCTGCTTCTGCATCATCTACAAACTTGCTGTCCTCCACCTCCAGATCATTTACAAACATGTTAAAGAGCACCCCCACCCCCAACATGGAGAGGGCACCACTTTGCTCCAAGGGAAGGGGACTGCCAAGAGGCTCCCAAGAAGTACTTTTTTTTAAAAAAAAAAGATGTGTCGTGTGTGGGCACCCATAAAAACCAAGGTAAAGGGCAGAGCTGAGCAACCAGTCAGTCTGGCAGCAAACGTGTATTGTCTTGATTGGAGTTTTTAAGCAGCTTTGAGCAAAACCTTCCCTGGGGCTGGGAACAGCCAACCAGCTGATTTCTTCCTCCCACCTACACTTCCTATTTATGCATCACTTAGAGACGGCTGTGATTAAGCAGAAAAATATTGTTGAAATAAAACAAATGCACAAGCCTCTGCCTTGGTGCCAGGTGGTCTTCATGGAGCAAGAAGCCAGCAATCCTGAAAAGAGCAGAGGCCCAAAGTGCTGCCAACTTTTATGCTTTTTGCTGTCTGGCTCGGCTCCTGTGCCTTTAACTACAGCCTGATACACAAAAATGAAAAAACAACAACTTTCTGCATTGCCCATCATGGCAGGGAAACAAAAGGTGCTTGTAACTCATTTGGATGTAGGTAGGCCTGCTCAGAAGTAAAAGGACTGCTCCGTTTACACCTTTTCTTCTCCTAGCCCTGCAAAAGTATTGTGTATCATCATAGTTATTGGCCAGGTGGACCTGAGTCAGACAGCCACTCCTCAATTCAGGATCACGTAGCTATAGGGAGGGGAGCAAGCAGCCTGCAGTGCTTGGGCCACGCTAATAAAGTGGGCAATTTTCTTCTGGTGCGATTGTTACATTTTGTGTAGCGGGCAACAAAATGTGCAACGTGGCCCTGAGACGGCATAATTCCTTGTAATAGCCGTGGGGCAGCCTTCACTAGCCTGGTGCCCTCCCAGCTGATGGGAGTTGTAGTCCAAAAACTGAAGAAAAGCACCAGGGCTGAAATAGCAAAATACTTGGTGATGCCAGACTTCCCTCAGCTAACACAGTCGCAAACTTCTCCCCAGCTGTGTTCAACCGACGCATTCTGCTTTCCCCTGTAAAACCATTTCACAAAATAAAAATGCAAATTTGCTCCCTCTATCACAAAGCAGGAGGCTGCCCCACTGGAAAAGAGAGGCTTTCTTAGAGACACGCCAGTAAGATGTTCCATGAAAATAAGCTAACGAGACAGAAACATTTGCCACCCCCAATGCAGACAGACGGGTCAGAGACTGTTTAAGGCTGCTGGGATGATACTTCCCTGCTTTGGTTTTGTCAAAAGCTCCCTGTGTAGGTGGGGAGAAGGACAAATTAAGAGCCCATAGCAGATATTGACCAGCAAAGTAATGATCAAATCCTATTTTTTGCAAGGCTTCATTTCAGGTTATGCAGGGCCTTCTTAAAAAGGGAGATGCCTGAAAGCAGCAGCGGAAGACACACCTGCAATCATTCCTCACACAGGTATTTGTATTGATATTGCATTTATTTGTTGGTTTTGAATATTTATGATTGTTTACATAAATATATGTAAAACATAATTAGAAAAAACAACGAAACAGCAATCAGTACTGGTTGGTTAAAAGGAACAAAATCACATTGTGTTTAAAAAGTGCAAATTTCAAGAGACGTCTGAAGGAAGGCTGGGGTGGTTCCTGCTGAACCTCTACTGGCAGAGAGTTCCACAGGGCAGAGCTCACTACATGAAACGTTCAGTCCCTAGTGAAGGCCAGCTGAACTTCTGGGGCATGGAGTACATCCCCCCCCCCCAAGAGGTGGCCCACCAGAGGATTTCAGTGATCAAGGTGGAGAATAAAGGATCAGACAGTTAAGGTACGCTGGTCCCAAGTTGTTTAGAGCTTTGTGAGTTAACATGAAGACCTTGAACCTGGCCCTGTAGCAAAACAGCAACCAGTGATATTACTTTTTTAAATAATCTGCATGTTTACACCAAGGACAGGGAAGACTTTGGTCCTCTGGGTGGCGCTAGGACTCCACCTCTCATCAGCCTCAGCCAGTATAGCCTGCAGTCAGTGATGATGGGGGTTGGCAGCATCTAGAGAAACAGATTCCCCGTTCCTGATTTGCAATTTGGGCATTTGAATGGCAAGCCTGAAGTTAATATTTTACCTTGGTAAAACACCAAAGGTCTGGCCAGCCTGACTTTCTCAATTGTAAGCCAAATATATGCACTTAAACCTACAGGAGCAACTGTCAGACAGCAGAAAGGGTGCAACTTTTAAATGCTATCAAAGAGGCCTCTGAACCAGGGCCCTTAAAAGCTGGAAGGGTCTTGTCATCTGTGGTGATGGGCAGGGGTGCTCCTTTGCTTGCTCCAGGGGAGGAATTCCTTCACCTGGAGGGGAAGAAAACAGATAAAAAGTGAACACATCTGAAAGGAGCACAGTATTTTTTAAAAAACAAACAAACAAACCCCATCTTGGCTAGATGATGATGATGATTTAAATTTGTTGTCAGAGCTGCTTCCAGATCCTAGCTCACAGAGGATCACGCTAGCCAGCGGTCACTTGTAAAAGTCTTTTATTGAGTTACAGTTTCCATTCTCAAGCTGCTGCGCGCAACTCTACGTCTTAAGGGTTAGACCGGCGAAGCTCCGTCTGAGTCTCCGCCCCCTGTACACCAACTTAATACCCTAGCCTTACTCCACCTTTTCCGCCTGACTGTTCTTCTCTGGGTCCCTCTGCCCCCCGGGGTCTCTTCCTTCCGGGATTCTTCTGACGCTGACCCCCCGGACCCTTCTGTCTCCTTGCGCCGGGCTTTAGGACCTGGCTCCCTTTCCGGGCTGCTTACTGCGCCACCTTCCTGTGCATTTGAACTTGGCGCGCGCGCCCAACCTTCCACTTTCCGTCTGACCGTTTCTTCGCTCCCCGATGTAGGTGTGGCCACTCCTGACTCGTGCCCTCCCTCCTGTTGTGAGCTTCCAGCGCTTGATACCTGGCGCCCTTCCTCTCCCCTGCTCTCTGTGGGCGACGCGGGTCCCGACTTCCCACTGAGCCCCCTCTGAGCCCCCTCTGGCCCTTTCTTCCTGGGGTGTCCACCTAGGCTCCCCCCTTGCCCTGGCCACTGGTGCTCCTTTCTGTGAATCTTCTGATTCACTGGAAAGACTCGGAGATCTCGGGTGGTCGTCATCACTCATCCTTTCTTCTGCCTCCTCCCCCTCGCTCTCTGTTTCCTCCCTTGCCCTTGCCTCTGCTCCTGAACCCCTGACATTTGTATACTGCCCTTGATCAGAAGATTACAGGTTTACAGCATAACAATGCAAACTGAGAACACAACATAATGACAAGACAAACCAACCAACCAATAACCCCCCTCCTATAAGCACATTTAAAAGACCATAGATTAATCAGCCACAGGCCTGGTTATAGAGGAACATTCTTGCCTGGTGCCTGATATAAATATAATATAGATATAATAAGACAAGGCTCGAGTTGAGCTGAGAGCACAGCCACAGCTCTACCCAGCGTACAACAATGTTCCCTTTCATTGGCTCTGTGGTCAGTGGCTAGATTCAAATCACATGAGACTGGAGTGTACATTCCCACCTTCAAAGATCAAAGAAAGGGAGAAAGCTAAAAGAGGGCTTGTCTGTAACTGTGGCTCTTCACATGGTCACCTGTGCAGCCACATAGCTGTGTTTTGTGCCCATTCGGCACAGGTTCGTAAGTTGCACGCCAGGCTACAAAGCAGCACCACCACCACCAACATATCAACATGCCACAACACCCTGCTCTTGTGTGCTTTTGGGGTCCTTTTGAAAGGCAGCTTCCAGCACCCAGAAAACAAGGGATGGCAGTTCCAAAGTAGGCCTCTCTCTTGGGAAGACTGCAGGTTCCCTCTTGCTTGCCTGGGGTGGTGTGGTTCTAGGGTGCATTTTCCCTTGAGGCAAGGGGGGGGGGCTGACAGGCTCCTGCACAAGCCCCATATTGGTTGGGAGAGAAGGGGGTGCCTCTAGGTTTTCTGCTTCAGGCTGCACAATGCCTCTGGCCAGCCCTGCTTTGAGGAGGAGCTTTTAGGGCCAGCTTCATCACTGAGCTTTCTGAATAAGGACTGGTGGCAAAAATACTTACAGAAACGTGTTGCTTGACGAGTTGCACCCTATCCCAAAGCACTAAAATAAAAATAAAAAGGGAGGGGGGTGGAAAAAAGAAAGGCATAAATGCGACACCCTTGTCAGCTTTTGTATATTTATTTCTGCCACTGGTTTCAGTGGACGCCTTCCAGCTGCATACATTTCGGATGGGAGCTGAGTCTGTGGTTTTGGCAGGGCAGTGGTGGCTCACCTGTGGCTTTCCAGGTATGGTTGAGACCCCAACTCCCAGCAGCCAGCCATGATGGGAATTGGAGTCCCAACAGCATCTGCAGGGACACAGGAGAGCTACCCCTATGCTAGGAAGTAGTAGCAAGTAAAAATCTTGCAAATGTGTACATAGAATCATGGAACTGTAGAGTTGGAAGGGACCCCAAGGATCTTGCAGTCTAACCCCCCACATTGCAGGAATATGCAGCCGGCCAGCACCAGTTACCCGTGACCTTGGTGTTATCAGCACCACGCTCTAACTGGCTGAGCTACAACACAGGAGCAGCTTTGGTTCCCACCTGACACAGAGCCCTCGGCCCTGTTGAAATGGAGTGGCTGGAAGTGTCTCCCCCACCTCCTTTCAACCCCGCTCACTCCTTGCTCCTTCCCCACTTTCAACAAAGCAAGCAGAGGATGGGGAAAAGGGCTGTGGGTGGCATTTCAGTCTGAAGCACAACACCATGGCTGGGTCAGAAAGGTGTTCCCTGAATGGCGCCCCCTGCTGGCTGAGGCAACACAAAGGGTTTCCCCGCTGGTCTCTGCCATCTAATAAAGGGTGGCGATACACTAGGGTGCCTCTTTAGCTTCCAAAATGAAACAATGTCTGGACAGACAAAAGAAAGGGACCTTCTCACAGCATAAACTATGGAATTTGTCTTCAGAAAGAGGCAGTGATGGCCATCAACTTGGATGGCTTTAAAGGAGGACTAGACAAATTCATGATGGAGGAGGCGGCTATCAGTGACAACTAGCCAGTGTCTGAGGTAGGAGGCCTCTCAATACCAGCTGTTGGAAACCACAGGGGGGGAGAGTGATGCTGTTGTGCTCAGTTCCTGCCTGTGGGCTTCCAATTGGGGCATCTCGTTGGCTACTGTGAGAACAGGATGTTGGACCAGATGGGCCCCCTTGGGTCTGATCCAGCAGCCAGGCTCTCTTCTGATGTTCTAACATACCAGGTCCTTCTTACCTTTGCAATCCGCTTCCATCGAGCCACAATGCCAAAGAGGATAGTGAAAAAAACGACCACAGCCGCAGCAATGACAGCCTCCATTGGGAAAGGGAGATTCCCTTCTGTTGGGAAAACAAATGCAACCCGCCTTCTCAGCTGGATTTTGGACATGGAGTATCAATGCTATTAAATGCATTCAGTGAACAGCAGAAGCTACCTTACACCAGGTCAGGTGTTTGCCCATCTCATCACAGCACAGCCTACTCTGACTGGCAGCATCTCTCCAGGGTCTCTGGCAGAGAGAAGTCCTTCCCATCACCTGCTACTTGGAGCTGCCTGAGACTGAAACTACATGCAAGGTGCCTGGTCTACCACTGGTCTCTCCCCAAACACAGGAGGCTGCAGACTTGACGGTTGTGAAAGGCCGAGAGAGTTTTATGCTCTCCTAGAACCCATGAATGGAACAAGAGTGTGTTCAGGAGGTCCACAGGGGCAGCGTAGATATGGCGGTCCTGATCTTGCCAAACGCTGGCTCCTACCAGCCACTCACAAATCTCATGAACATGAACCAGATGCTTAATATTCTGGGTGATGCCTTTGAGTCTATACTCAGGAACTGGAGTGAGGGATGGGATCCAAAGGTCATCTAATCCGAAGGTGGGACCATTAACCCTTTAGTCCCTCATCCAAAGAATCTAGGCCAGGAGCAGTGGAGTGACGAGGGACATGTTCCCTTGTTGCAACCTTCCAGAGGTCACATCCCAGAGGTGGCCAGGGCCAAAGGCAAAGGTGTGCAGAACTATGGCAGTGACTCTTACTATCCCCTTAAAACTCCAACCACACAAAAGCCAGAGGCTGATGCACACTCCCCTCTCTCTATTCTCCACCCAGGTAAGCGAGAGGCATTACAACAATTCAAAGACAGGGAAAAGCACTTGAGGTGAGCATGGAGCAGGGCTGGGGAGTGTTCTGAGGGCCCGAGAGACCTGAGCTCCCCCAACCTGCTGATCTAGACACAGCAAGCAAATGGCTTCTTCGTAATGACTACCAGGGCCTTGATTTCATTTGCTCCCAGTTACAAACATTGAGCTGCTGATAACGCAGCAGCTCCTGAGGGATTTAGAGGGCTGGTCCTGCCTTCACAAGGTAAACCAGAGAGAAACCTGGCCCCTGTGTGTACTTTCAGGCTTAATATCCTGGTCTTTGAAGACGACCTTGCCTGCAGCCAACACAGGTAGGGAGGGAAGATGTCAAGGACATCAAAGCAAGCACCCAGCAAGAAGACTTCAGCTGGCTGGGCTACAGGCCCCAAGTGGCCAGTGGGCCAGCCACATCACAGCAGTTGCATTACCTTCAACAGTCAGGTGGAAATCCCTCTTCTCTGTTATCCCATCCAAACTAGCCACACAGGTGTATATCCCATTGTCGGATACCTGGGCCTTTGCAATGGTCAACTGAAAGAGCTCGCTGGTCTGATAAATGTGGTAACGGGATTTCTTCAGGGTCAGAAAGCTGTTGTCCTTATACCAGGCCATCTGAGCAGGAGGATTGGCCTTTGTGTGGCAATCCAGTGTCACATCAGCCTGTTCTTCCTGTGGGGAGGGTCTTCTCCGCTGAGGATGGGGGGGACTGTGGAGAACAACAAAGGATCACATTCAACAGCACCCATTCCTCAATTCTTTGATATTACGCTTGAATGAATATTCAGAGCAGAGAGGGGGGGGCTTGTAAAACCCCTCAAGTGCCTTAGCTTAGCACTGGTCCCAAATGACAAAACACAAAATAGCAACCATTAAAAAACAAAACTTTTTTAAAAAAACCCAAGGTTGCTTCTGTCATTGTGCAGGCAGAGCACCCAGGTCTGTAATTGCACAGAAACCAATTATTTTATTATTTATACCCCACCCATCTGGCTGGGTTTCTTCAGCTACTCTGGACGGCTTCCAGCAGAATATAAAACGTAATAACACGTCAAACGTTAAAAACTTCCTGATACAGGGCTGGCTTCAGATCTCTTCTAAAAATTGTGTAGTTTATTTCCTTGACATCTGATGGGAGGGCATTCCACAGGGAGGGTGCCACCCCCTGGTTCTATAATTTTAAATGCCATTTAATTTCTGGGCAAAAAAGGAGAGAAATCTAATATAAAAATGGACTAGATTCTCTCATATTTATGTCTGTGTTTTTATCTATCTATCTATCTATCTATCTATCTATCTGAAATTCAGTAGAGAACCCAGCCTACAGGCACTGCCTCCCTTCCTCAGAAGCAGAGAGCCAGCCACTCACAACGGACATCCAGGACCACAGAGATCATGACAGATCCATCTCGGGCCAACTTGCAGGTAAAGGAAACTCCGTTGTCATCTACAGCGACGGGGTAGATGCAGACGCTGCTGGCATTCACTTTGTTTCCATCTTTCAGGTCGACCTGTGTGTCCCCTCGGAACCAGAGCAGCTCTTCTCCCTGGCTGTTGTTGTGCACTGTGCACACGAGGGACTCTGCTACGCCTGGCTTTGTTGACAGCTGGTAGTCAGCAGTGTTGCCATTGATAGCCAGATGGGTGCCTGGGGAGGGGGAAAGATGTCAGTCCCATGAAGCAAAGTTTTGTAAAAAAAAAGACAGACTCTTAAAAAATAGCATCAACAGCTGTCCTGATTCCAAAAATCAACAGTTTGGCTGAATGAGTAAGAAGAGAGGATCATTTAATCTCCCCCCAATTCAGATGCAGAACTCCATTGGGAAGCTCAGGTGAGGACCCAAGCTGGTTGCGTACCTGTGACAGCACAAGGCAAAAGTGCGAAGATGAAGAGAGGTGTCCTGCAAAGGATGCCTGCCATCCCCCCTGAGGCCATCTGCGAAGAACTCTGGCCCAAGACCTGCAGCAGAAAGGAGGCAGGAGAGAGTCACTGTGTGCCTCGTGGTAGTGATTGGCCGCCGTAAGGTTGGTGGAGCGCCCAAGTCACCCAAGCTCACCCACCCCAAAGTCAGCACCAATAATAATAATAATAATAATAATAATAATAATAATAATTTATTTGTACCCCGCCCATTTGGCTGGGTTTCCCCAGCCACTTTGGGCGGCTTCCAACAAGGATTAAAAATACATCAAAACGTCACACATTAAAAAATTCCCTGAACATATACTTCTTCACCCAACAGCCCGGGGTCTACAATGCCTTCCGCATTTCGGGGAGCGACCTGTATATGAATTGAAGCTATGAGAAATAGCCCCCCACCCCAGGAAACGCCACCTCGCTACCCCACGGCCCTCTTCTCTGTCAAATACTGACACTTACGTTGGGAAAGGCCAATCGTGTGGGCACTTGTCTTGAAATGGAGAGCAAACCACGGCCTTCCTTGGGCTTTTATAGGCACCCGTGGTTATATGTCTTTATTGCCGTGCAGAGACAAGTGATCCACTCGAGTTCAAGGCCGCGTTCTCTTAAGGACTTCCTGGGTAAACACTGGGTGCTTCTCTCTCCCAAAAGGAAGCTGGCCAAAAACCTTCCCAGATTTATGGCCGTGGCTGAGGCAATGAGTAACAGCAGCAAAGTGCATCTATCATGGGTCAACCACCCCTGACTTTGACTCTGAAGGCAGCACACAGTTCTTCTGCGGGCAGAATGCCCTTCCCCTCTAACAGCACTGGGTGTAGGGATGCCTTAGTGCACACCTTTGTTGTACAAGGTGATCAAAGGCCACATTTGAGGAGAGCCAGGTTGCCAGATCCTAAGATCCTACATCTTGCGCCAGCGAGTCACAGCATTCTGCCCATCTCTTTGCTCTGCTGAAACAGAATTTATTACTCGCCTAAGCTACAAAGTCCAACAAGATCCAATCCAATATTATGTCAGCTCCTCATCCCTGAAGCCAAAAGGTTGAGAAGAAACTATTTGCCATCCATCCAAATAGAAAGAAAAGAAAGAAATATACATAATTAACAAGTCATTTTACCTCATGCTCAGAGCAACAGCCAGCATTATTCTCTGGAAATTGTATACTAATGTTGACAGCCATTGCCACAAAATGTGCTATTGTTTAATACATTTGACAGCCTTCACCTACATGAGCTGTAGCCACTGTTAACCCCTTGCCTTGCTTTGGATGCAAGATTTTCAAGTGGAAAATGCTGGTTAGTTCACTAAACCCACTTGGACCAGGCCTGGGGTTATTATGAGAAGCAACAGGGCAAAGTCAGTGCACAGAGGGCAGGTGGTGTTGAAGGGATGACTCTTAATGAAACCAAGGCCGCATGGCAGGATCTTTGTTATTCCTCTGCTCTGATCCAAGGAGAACCATTTTTCAAACTTTATGCAAAGAGAACTAAAATCTGAAAAGGAGCAGCCTTAGATCCCTCCAAAATAACACAACGCGGAACCAAACGGAGAGGTGCTCTAGCACCGAGGTCAGAAGGAAGCTGGCACAGAAGAAAGTGTCTCAGAAAAGGTAACCAACGGGGCCACTTACCACTTCTCAGTCACTCCTACTTGCTGTCAAATTGGATGGGGTGTTCTTTCTTGTGCCTGATGTGGCTGAGCTCGCAGTCATTTATTAAATTCCAATTTCTTGAATGATGAGAGTTGCCACCAGGGGGAGCAGAAGCATAAGATTTAGGGCTGCCCTTTTGCAGCCTTGGGATATTTGCATTCCTTCTATTTCCAAACTGTAGGATGGAGGAGATTGAATGCAACGTGGCTTAGAGGGTGCAGGAGGCTGACACTTCAGCCAGGACCCTGCTGTAAGGGTGGTAATGTAAAATTCAACTTTTGAAAACGTGCTTCAAGTCCTTTGCGTACAGGATTGAGCTAATCTCTATGGCTGCTTTATTTGGCGGGCGCTAAAGAGAAGAGGTGGCAGTTTCCCATGCCACGCTATTCAGTTATATCAGAGTTGAGATTTAAAAATGGGGGCTTGCTCATTGTTCCTGCCTTAAACCACTATGCTGATGATCACCACTGTGAGAATTGGGTTGGTTCCCTGAAAATTAGGGGGCACAAAATACGCAGGCTGACAGAGAGCTAGACCAGGCATCTCCTTTACATTTGTCACGAGACTACAATTTTGCAATTAGACAGAAAGATTTGCTGTGCATCGTGGAGGTTTCTGTGCCTTCTTTGGAAGCATCTGGCAACAGCCACTGCAGGAAATTGGCGTCCACCAACTGCAAGCCCAGGCCATGAGACCAGATGAAAAGGGAGTGCCAATCCTTAGAGCTTTTCTTGGGAACATGTTGAAATAGCCACAAAACGTAATTAATTAGTCGTCACCAGTCAGGTCCGGCATGTAACTGAAAGCCCCACACACCTGAGAAGAAAGGAGATCTAGGACGTGATAAGCTGAAAAGCTCACTTTCCACATTCTTAACCTCCCGGTCTTAGACCTGGTTTGGACCAGGTTTCAGACAGGTGTAAAGGTGAGAAGGGAACCTCATGACCTGGTAAAGACACAGCAGACACAATATTTCAAAGTGCTCACCCTGGGCCTTTTGGTCTCTCTCACCACCCATAAAAATAGGATACCTATTCACTTGACGCTGACACAAAAGCCCCACTCGTACACTATGTAATAGAATGAAAGTTTGCTGTCTCCCCCTTCTTCCTCCTCTCTTCTCTCTCCCCACTTCTCTCGCCCCCAACTGCTTGCTGCCTATGACAGTAATGTCTCACACCGAATATAAATAACCTGAACAAAGAACTCTACAGACTAAAAACTGATACACCGTATGTACCTTTGCTACCCAATAAAATCTTTTAATAAAAACATTTTTTTAAGTGCTCAGCAGGCAGGTCTATGGCTGTTAGGGAAGAAATGGAAGAGACTGAAAGAGGGCAACAAAAAGGACCACAGTGCTTCCAATATTTACAGTTATGGAATATTACTTAGACTTTTAGTTGCAAAACAGGGTCCTCTCCTGGAAATACTGGAATTTGAACGTATGGTGTCAAAATATAACTTGCAAAAATGATCAAATAAATCATATGAATGAGAAGCAACATAGAATCAAAAGAAAATAATTACCAGCAGAAATGGGAAAGAGATTTTGGTTATATTTATGATTGTGTGACAGTGGCTCTGGTTAAATATTCCACAGCAAACTATAAGTGTTAATCTCAAAGTTGAGTTAATCATGCAATAGTGATACTATTATTTATTGCACTTATTACTGTAGTTTTGTCACAAAAAGTAGCTTGATGCAATTTACAAAATAGTGCAAAGATTAAAACCAGGATAAAGAGAATAAAAGCTAAAAATACATTCATACATATAAAATGCAGTTCTAATGCATCCGATACCATCATGTCCTAATCATACATATAGAACAGCAAGCGATTTCTGTTGGGAGTTGTAAAATGAATAGTGCCAATTTGCAGCGTATTTAATGGGCTTAATGGATCTTTATCTGCAGATATTCTGCAGCAAGGTGTTAAAAGAAATAGATACAATTGCATGTTATATACTCCCAATGGATCCATTAATTCTACACTTAGGATCCATCAAAGATTTAGGTACTGACAAGTGACAAAGAATATCCATGTTATAACTGAAAAAGAACAAGAACTTCCACGTTGGAAGACTGGAACGTTGGACAGAGGATGTGACTAAAGCTGACTATGGTAATCAAAATAAAGGAGGAATAGATAATCTCACAACAGTTTTGTGGGGAAATGGAGTGTGTTTATAATGTACTGGTGTAGTGGAGTGCAGAAAAATGTAAATCCATGTACTTTTATGTTTTATAATTTACTTCTTTTCTTTGAATATGTTACGTAGAGAACGAGAAGGGAAATGTGCATCATTATTGTTCTTTATTTGCTTCACTTTCTCTCCTCTCCTTAATTAATATTGTATATTATATATTTGCACATGACCTGAAAAAAATAAAATAGAAAATTAGTGTTTTTGTGTGTGTGACTTTTTTGGTTAAACTTGCACATCATCGAAATCCACTTGACTGTAGAGAAACTGCATTTCCTCACCCTCCAAACATGGGGTGGGTGTCTCTAATTCCATATGGGAAAAGATATTCCATGTTTCATGTTTCTTTCCACTTGACAACAAAGTCTTAACATTCAATTCATTGTCATGACAAATGGCTTTGGGCCGCGTTTTGTCCTGGTTACTTCTGAAGAGGCTTTCAAAAACCCTGCATGAGATCCAAGGGAAACTTCTTCTCATGAGCAGCTCCTGTTAAGTGCAACACGCTTGAAAGAGAATACGTTCTCAGTGAGCGATTGCTTCTTTCTCTCTTATCTTTGGGGGTCCAACCAATGTTAAAAGGTTTAAGTGCAACAGATGCAGAACCACAGAGCAGACCTAATGGCTGGCTGCATTATGGGATGGATAAACACACAGCCAGCAACCGCAGGGGTGCCAGTGAGTCACGAATCATTCATGGCTTTAGTCCCATTATGAGAACAATGTTCCTACAGAGGAATTCCTGCAGGGTCAATGCCTTCTCCCAAGACCGCTCAGCTTCCTTGATTTCACAACTCTGCATACGTCAGTCTCAAGAAAACCTCAGCAAACAAACCTTGAAAGGGTTTGGCAGCCTGCAGGTGTTTTCCTTCCCACCTGTGGCACCAACTGACCACGAAGCTGATTCTAGTGTCCCCGTCCAAAAAGTCCATTATCTTCAGATATTCTGGGGCAGCCTTTGCCAACTTATGTATGTACTTTACTCTGCATACACTGCAAGATGCAGTGATGGTCGCTAACTTGGATGACTTTAAAATATTGAACATTTTATGGAGGATGAGACCATATATGGCTACTAAACACAAATGATTGTGTTCTCTCATCACTGTGAATATCTGATGCTCAATTAATCTTTATTATGATCTCGGATCAGCCACTAGAATACAGTCAAACACACAGAATCTTGCAGTTTACAGGCAAAATATCAGTTAATGGTTATCAAAAGTAGCGAGGTGACTGGCCATTGCGGCAACAGGAGGCTGGGCTGGTTGGAGTCCGTTTGGTCAGATCCAGAAGGCTCGTTTTATGTTATCAAAGAAAACGGAGCCTTTTAAGGGAAATTGGTCTTTTTTGCAAGATCACGGTCAGTATCTATCTGGCTTTTTTAACGTTTGTTATTTTGTTTTTTTAAATTAATTTGTAAGACATGCAGGATAAAAATACAATAGCTAAACAAGATGATAGATAAATCTGAGAAATCTCCGTGTTTTCTCTTCCAGACGTGACGCTGCACACGCGGGTATCCCACTCACGTGAACAGTTGGTTACGTCGACATCATCTCTATTCTTTCCACGTCTCCCGCTTTCAGCCCCGCCCCTCAACCTCTCCGTCATCTCCTCTGTCGTCTTTCATTGGCCTCCGTCCTGCTTTCTCCCGCCCCCTTTCTCTCTCCCCCGCTTCTTTCCATCCATAGATTCCCGTTCTATCTCTCCCAACTATTCACCAACCTCGAAACGGTTTTTCTCTCTTCTCCGGCCCCTCAAGGGTTAAACAACGCCCTCTTTCGCGCCTTTAGCCCGCCCTCCAGCCTTTATTATTGGCTCTCTTCCCCCACTTCCCCTTTTCTATTGGCTGTTTGCTGTCTTCTCCGATTGGCGCGCTGCTCTGCTCCCTCCTCGCCAATCGAGTGTCGAGTTACCTCAGCGAGCACTTTTCCTCCCCTCAGCGGCGGCGGCGAGCGAGCGGCCTGTCACATCTGAGGCGGCGATGGCGGGCCGGGCCGGAGGCGGCGGTCTCTTGCCCTTCGCTTTATCTTCATTCTTCTTCTTATTTTTGTTGTGGCGGCGCGGGGCGGAGGCGGCGCACATCAAGAAAGCGGAGGCGGCGGCGGCCTCCACGGAGCCCTCGGCTGCCGGCGGCGGGGCGGCGACGCGCTACCTGGACGAAGCGGAGCTGGGGGCGTCGCTGCGTCGCTTGGCGGAGGACGAGGCCCCTCGCGGCTTGGCCAGGCTCTTCTCCATCGGCCGCTCGGGCGAGGGCCGGGAGCTGTGGGTGCTGCGCCTCAGCGCCGACCTGCCGGAGCCCGGCGGCGGGAGCGGCGACGTCGGCGACCCGGTGGGCGGACCCCCCATCCCGGGCCGCCCGCAAGTCAAGCTGGTGGCCAACATGCACGGCGACGAGGCCCTGGGCAGGGCCCTGGTGGTCCGCCTGGCCCGCGAGCTGGTTGCGGGGTGGCTGCGCGGGGAGCCCCGGGCGCGGCGCCTCCTCAACGGCACCGACCTCTACCTCATGCCCAGCCTCAATCCCGACGGCTTCGCCCGCGCCGAGGAGGGCGACTGCGGCGCCCAGCAGGACCCCTCCGGGAGGGAGAACGCCAGGGGGAAAGACCTCAACCGCAGCTTCCCGGACCAGTTCGGGGCAGCCCGGCCGGACCTGGCCAACGTCCCCGAAGTGCGCGCCCTCATGGAGTGGATGCGGCGCAACCGGTGAGTGGGCGGGGCTTCGTGGGCGGGGGCGGGTCAGGCGTCTCCTGGGAGGCGGGGCTTCCTCGTGCTAAATCATTTGAGGTTCTGTTTGTGGGCGTGGCTTCATTCGAACAGGGGCGGGGTCTCGTTCTGGGGGCGGGGCTCCTGTTGCAGGGTGGGCTAGGCTTATCTGGAGAGTAGGGCTTCATCCTGTGGAATATGTTATAGTTGTTAGCCGCTCTGAGCTCGGCTTCGGCTGGGGAGGGCGGGATATAAATTTTAAAAATTACTATTATTATTTTGAGGCATTATTAGCATTCATTAAAGGTAAAGGTACCCCTGCCCATACGGGCCAGTCTTGCCAGACTCTGGGGTTGTGCGCCCATCTCACTCAAGAGGCCGGGTGCCAGCGCTGTCCGGAGACACTTCTGGGTCATGTGGCCAGCGTGACATCGCTGCTCTGGCTAGCCAGAGCCGCACACGGAAACGCCGTTTACCTTCCCGCCAGTAAGCGGTCCCTATTTATCTACTTGCACCCGGAGGTGCTTTTGAACTGCTAGGTTGGCAGGCGCTGGGACCGAGCAGCAGGAGCGCACCCCGCCGCGGGGATTCAAACCGCCGACCTTTCGATCGGCAAGCCCTAGGCGCTGAGGCTTTTACCCACAGCGCCACCCGCGTCCCTACTTTAGCATCCATTAGTCACTTATTAATGACTTCTAATTTTTAATGCGAAAATTAAAACATGGGGCTTCTTTGTTTTGGGGTGGGACCTCTGCCATGGGCGTAGCCAGGATTTATGTTATGGGTGTAGTTGCCCCCCCCCCCCCGTTGACTATGCCCATGGCCTGTCCTAGGTACTTCAATCTTTTCCTGGGCTGGTTTGGAGCCTATTGTATTTTGACAGGTGATTTGTGGTGGGTTCTTATTTAGTAGGCAGAACCAAGTGTCTCTTGGTGGGTGTGCTTTGCATGGGGACAAGGTCTCCGTGCTGCATGGATTTTTTGGGCAGGTTTAACCTGGAATCTTAGAATTGTAGAGTTGGAAGGGACCACAAGGGCCATCTAGTCCAATTTCCTGCAAAGCAGGATTTTTTTTTTTGCCCAACATAATACTCTTACCCACAAGCTTGAGATTAAGAGTCTCGTCCTCTACTGACTAAACCAGTGTTTCCCAACCTTGGGCCTCCAGCTGTTTTTGGACTACAACTCCCATCATCCCTAGCTAGCAAGACCAGTGGTCAGGGATGATGGGAATTGTAGTTCAAAAACAGCTGGAGGCCCAAGGTTGGGAAACACTGGACTAAACTATCCTGCGGGCCCTTATTTGTTGGCAGGGCTCATTTACGGTGGGAGGGCATCAGCTTTATGTGGTTGGGTGCAGCTTCCTTCTCTGGAGGTGGGATCTCATAGAGTCATAGAATTGTAGAGTTGGAAGGGACCCTTAGGGTCATCTGGTCCAACCCCCTGCAGTGCAGGACTCTCAGCTGATTTAACTGATAAAGTTCTGTAGAATGTGTTACAGGGTGTGAAAACAATCAATATCCAAGGATCCCCAGGCATGTACCTGCAGATGATGGAGATGTCAGGCATCTTCACTTGGTTGCAAGTTGTCAAAAGCCCAGTGAAAAATGTGCCTGGCGAATTTTGAATGCTGTGACAGATGGCCATCCAAAATCTGTTTAAAACCTTCAAGGAAGGAGAGTCCACCACCTCTCATGGGAGTCTGTTCGTACAGCTCTTACTGTCAGAAAGTTATTCCTGATATTTAGTCGTAAACTCCTTTCTTGTAACTTGAATCAATTGGTTTGGTTCCCAGCCTCCAGAGCAGGGGAAAACAAGCTTACTCCATCTTCCAAGTGACAACCCTTTAGATATTTGAAGATGTCTTTCATATTTCCTCTCAGTCTCCTCTTTACCACACTAAACATGCCCAATTCCCTCAACAATTCCTCATAAGGCTTGGTCTCCACCCTTGATCATCTTGGTTGCCCTCCTCTGCACATATTTCAGCTCGTCAATATCTTTGAATTGTGGTGCCCACCTCCAGGTGGGCCTGGGACCAAAACAAGACAGAATAGAGTGGGATTATTACTTCCCTTGATCTGGACACTAGACTTCTGTTGATGCAGCCTAGAATAGCCTGAGTTCTTTTTACTGCTGCATCACACTGTTGACTCATGTTCAGCCTGTGGTTTCCTAAGACCCCTAGATCCTTTTCACATGTACTACTGGCAATTCAGGCGGCTCCTGTGTTATATTTGTGCTGCTGGTTCTTCCTGCCTAAGTGTAGAATCTTACATGATGCTTGGCAGGCCAGGCTTTTCCTTGGGGGCCAGGTCTAATAGTGCTGAGCCAGTTGAGCTTTCATTGGTTGGCAGAACTTCTTGGCTTAGGTGGTGGGATCCCTCATCATATGCTGTCTATGTTATTTGGCGGTGCAGTGGAAGGTTTTAAGAGCTCCATGGGTGGCAGTTGTTCTGTACTGGGTTGGGGACACTGGATAATTGGGTGTCTTGGCTTGTCCCTTTTTGAAGCCCAGGAGCTAGCTTATTTTCTCATGTGGGGATGGAAGTATTTTTTACATTTTTGGCTGGAAACCAAAAATCAGGAGGCAAAGCCTCAACTAGATACTAGGGATGAAAATGTTTATTGAAAACTGCAATTGTGTTTTGGTTTATTGCTACACCATTGCTGTTTTTCACACAAAAGAGTAAATGTAGAAGAGGGAGAAAATGTCATGACCCAAAGAAGGTGACATGCCAAAATGTGTTGGGCAACTGTAATTTTCCTCTCTTCATTCCTGGCATTCTCTTGAGGCTCAGGTGCTGTGTTGGTTATTTTCCAGTTCCACTGGTGCTATCTGCTCTTAATCCCCTTCCCTATGTCACAAAGTGGATTAAAGAAATAAAAACATAATACTGTACTATCAAAAAGAAACCAACATAACAACTAAATAGAAGTTACAGAAACACCAGCAGTTAAACACATTTCCATCACCTGGTACTTAAAAACTGAGGTGAGAGACCTTAACTAAGCCAGATGGGACTCCTGGAAAGTAAGTTCCTTCGTGCTGTCACAGAGATAGCCTGGTCCTGTTCTGTGTTACCACCCTTAACAACTCTTATGAAGGGGAAACAGACAACAAGGTTTCAGTAGATGTTTCTCAGTATAGGTGGTCTTTTGTGGGTGAAGCCAGTTTCCAGATGGCCTTCATTGTTGTAGAGAACTGGGTAGGAGATCTGGAGTGTGTAGTTAGAAAAGCCATGGAGAGAGGATTTTACCCTTGAAGAAGTATCTGTGGTTATGATGGGACTTTAAAACAATTTTTGATTCTGAAGGTCCAAGGGATTGCACATTTTTGATACTGTCATATCTTGGTTCTTGAATGTAATCCATTCTGGAAGTCTGTTCGACTTCCGAAAATGTTTAAAAACCAAGACGCAGCTTCCAATTGGCTGCAGGAGCTTCCTGCACTCAAGTAGAAGCCGCGTCAGATGTTCGGTTTCCAAAAAAAGTTTGAAAACCAGAACACTTCTGGGTTTTTGGCATTTGGGAGCCAAAACATACGAGTACCAAGGCGTTTGAGAACCAAGGTACAACTGTACTGTGAGTGGTTAGGATTTCTTGGCTGGTTGGAGAAGATGCTGTTTGTATGGCTTGTCCCCTTTGCACAGGAACGTATTGGCTACTGAGAACTGGGTTTGCTTGTGGCAAAAACATGGTAAGAAGCAGTGTTGCCTTTGGTCATTGCAAAATACTAATCTTCCAAACTTGAAATTTATTATCATGCAGTGGTCTTGATGTTCTGTTGATGTTCTTCTGCCTGAATGAAAACAAGAGCTCAATAAGGATTTGCGAATGTGCTTGTTGCCGTTCTAATGTACAAAATCTGACTTCTTATGTTGGGTGTCTCAAGATCTTCCATGTGACAATGCACATTCAAATCTACATTCTCTCAGCTCTATCTGTTTAAAATTACCTCAAATTAAAATAACAGAAGCCGCTAAAGCTGGCTAAACAAGGCAGTCCTTTGTGGTTGCCCGTCTGCCTTGTTATAGGCTTAAAATGATTACAATTGCAATACTATGTCACTGGTACAAAACTGAATAAACATCAAGCTTTATGCATGCTTTAGTTTAACAATTTATGAGTTGTTTTTCTTGAATAGAATGCAGTGCTCTGGTTGGTGCTCAGTAGTTTGTTAAAATGGGGCTTTTCTGATGTTGCCTGGTTTAGTAAAATCCAAATGCTTAATATCAAGTGCTGTTGGAAGGAACCCTAAGTTCCTTTATCAGCTGAGAAGAAAGCTTAAAGATAGTTGTACAGTCACTTGTGACAGGGCTAAGGAAATCTTTGCTGTTTCCTAGGCACTTCCATTTCCTAACCAGTTTGCAAACTTAATTCCCATCAGTCTGAATCTCAATTGGTGCTGACAAGCTTATAGGAATAGTCACCCTAAAATTACTATGCTTGTAGGTTCTGCTGCTTGTAACTTATTTTTATGGCCTGGCTTCTTGTGTTTAGCACCCAGTTTGTTTGCCTACTGAATTGGCTTTCACGTCTAATACTAGTTCCTTCATTGTGAACTGTCTTTTAAAATACAGGGGTTGGTGTGGTCCCCCCTTCTAAACGCAGCACTCTGTAAACTGCATCACACTGACTCAGGGATCTTCTCTTGTTGACAAGTTGTTTTGCAGTTTCTAAAAAGAGCCACCATGTTTCCTCCAAATGTTGATTGCGCTGCTTCATTAAAGAAATCTAGTGTGATGGGATAAAACATGCCACATTAACCTGATTGCATCTCTACCCTGCAGTTATCCTTTCTGGTTCTGATGACTGTTGTGCTTCTGTTGAAAACAGGTTTGTGCTTTCCGGGAACCTACACGGGGGATCTGTTGTTGCAAGCTACCCATTTGATGACTCCGCTGTACACAAGACCTCTGGGGTGTACAGCAAATCTGCCGATGATGAGGTATTCAGGTATTTGGCAAAGGCTTATGCATCAAACCATCCAATAATGAAAACCGGCACCCCAAACTGCCCTGGGGAGGAAGAAGAAACTTTCCAAGATGGCATCACTAATGGTGCTCAGTGGTACGACGTGGAAGGTAGGCTGCTCAAGTGAACTACTTTACTAGTGTCTTCCAAAAGAGTAGCATGTTGCTATTTATTGTCACTTTACTGCTGCTGGAATCCTGCAGGCAGCATCAAGGTGATGACATGATTGGTGCTGTTTATTGATTCTACGTGTTTGCATTTCATATGTTATTCAACAAAAGCTATGTAAAGAAAATGCCTGGCTCAATTGTTGTCAAACATTTTTTTTAAGATTTAAGCAAACTTTTATAGCTTGCTTTGGCACATTGCAGCTAGCTAGCTAGCTAGCTGTCTGTTGGTGTTGCCTAATTTTGTTTTAACAGGAGAAACTTTCTCCCAGATTTACAAAGAATTTATGGAGCACTGCTGTGTGCCATCCTTTTACTGTTGAATATGGCCTGTAAGACGTAGGTTGATGGGTATAGATACTCCATTGGACTTGAGGCTGCTTTGCTTGAGCATGTGGCCTTTGAGCTATCTTTGGTACTAGAGTTGCTTGTCTGCATTCAGAGTACTGAATTTGTCTGTAGCTATCATGCAGAGCCCTCCGAAATTGGCTGACTTGAAAGTAAGCATTGCTGAATTCATTTGAACTTCACGACTAACTGGTGCATAACCTTGCTTGTTTTCCTGTTTGGTCTTACATTCTCTTTCCCATTTTTTTGTATTTTGCCTATTATGCTGTAAGGCTGCAGGCAAGGATTGTGTTTTCCTTAATCTCTGTAAAGGTGTAATTTGAAAAAAATGAGGCACTTGAAAAATAAAGTTCCCAAGAAAGTTTGCTTATAATTGCAACACATGGTGCAATTGGAGAGAACCCAAGGGCCAGTCTTCCAAAACTTACAATTCCTAGGTTGCATAAAATAATTCCATTTTTGGGAATTTAACTGTGATAGAAAAAAATTTATAGGGTCTTCCTATGGGAGTGACTGCCAGTATGGTATGTTAGCCTTTATTTCCACACCTGATGGTGAGCTTCTGAGCTTTACTGATGGCTGAGCATAGGATTTACGACTTTGAAATGGTATTTAACCTCAACAGAAGTAATTTGGGTATGTCACCCAGGTTGTAACACATCTCAAAAAGTAGGATCAGTTGCATTAGAAAGGTTTTTATGTTAGTATTTCCATACAGATTTACAGTGTCAAAGCTATGCGTACTTACTTAGATTTTTTTGACATACAGTACTAATCAAATTTGAAAAGCCTATTGCACCGTTTCTTTTTCATTGCCTGCTTTAGACCCACATTTCTTCTGGTATTTTTTTCTTACCTAAAACCATTTACAAAATACTTGCAATAATTGCTTGTAGATAATCTCATTTCTCCTTATTTAAAGTCTTTTTGCCCCACTCTTTAACTGAAAAGGTTCCCTGAGTGGTTGCAAAGATCAGTAATAAAATAGTACTTGTTCTCAGGCTTACAGTCTAAAATACATAACACAAAAGGAATTAGGAGGGAGGAGAGAAAAGGAAACACAGACAGACACTAGTTTTTAGTGTTCTTACAATGGCCAGCTGGAATGGAAGCAGTTCAAAGAGAGGAAAGCCAAAAGTTATTGGTCTCTCAGTTGAGCCTAAGAGGTGGCCCTCCCTCCCTTCTCTCACTTGCTGTAGCCTGATAGAAGTTGACTTTTAAAGTGAAGCCAGAGCTCTTTATACTTGTCCTTCCCCTGACATTCTTTTTGGCTTGTCAAAATTATTTGGTCAACTAATCACTACAATAGTTGCTCAACAACAACAAAGATACTTCAAACATCATCAGATTTTATGCCAAACTACCTTAATTTTAGAATTGCAATTGCGGTTAACATTAAAAATGAGAATTATGTGTATTGTGAATTATTCGTGTCTATAGCAACCCTGCCCAGCATTTAACTAATTTTGTATTTCTAATCAACACAAGTATCAGATGTGTTGATGGATAAACATCTCTCTTTTGTCCTAGTAGCATTAAACGTTTTAGAAATACTGGACCAGTCATGTGAACACATCTTATTTTGACTGGCCACATGCCTAACTAACTGTTCAAATAAAGGTTCTCCTTCATGCTGTTTACCAGTAGTCGCCAGCTCTTTTCCTGCTTCCTTTCCACTACAGACACACCCAAATTGTGGTGGAAGCTTTGGGTTTACTAAATCAACAGCGTTTCACAAGCAGACAGAATGAGTAAATGCTTGTGAAGCTGTACACTTGTCATTTAATTTTGAACCAGGATATCCTGAAGGGACTAAGTTAATTCACTCTTCACAGTGGCAAGTTCTGCTCAAAAGTTCAGGGTTGCATCCAAATAAATTTTACTCAGAAACTCATTGAAATTAATGGATGATAAGCTAGTCATGCTCCTTAATTTAAATGGGTCTGCTCTATGTACGACTAACGTATGACCATCCCCACTATTCAACCTGGACACTGAGGTCCAGCGCCAAGGGCCTTCTGGCAGTTCCCACACTGCGAGAAACAAAGTTACAGGGAACCAGGCAGAGGGCCTTCTCGGTATTGGCGCCCGCCCTGTGGAACACCTTACCATCTGATGTCAAACAGATAAAGAACTATACAACTTTTCTCCTCCTCCTCCTCCTCCTCCTCTTCCTCCTCTTCTTCTTCTTCTTCTTTGGCAATCACTTGTAGCCAAGTAAGATTGTCTTCCATAAACACGGTTTTAACAATGAGTCCGTAAGTGACTGTAGAGGCCAGTTCCTGATCCACACGTCCTTCCACAGTGGGGACATTGGTTTCCAGGTGGGAGCTGATCACGGTGTGGATTTGCCAAGCGTGCCTTCCTCCTAGCACATTTCTCCCTTGCGTCCTGAGTTCGAGTGTCTTCAAAGCCCATGACACCTTTGGCAAAGGCTGTTCTCCAACTGGAGCACTCGCAGGCCAGTGTTTCCCAGTTGTCAGTGTTTATACTACATTTTTTTAGATTTGCCTTGAGACAGTCTTTAAGCCTCTTTTGTTGACCACCAGCATTATGCTTTCCATTTTTAAGTTCGGAATAGAGTAGTTGCTTTGGAAGACGTTCATCAGAAGACATCTGAAGGCAGCCCTGTTTAGGAAAGTTTTTAATCACTTATGTTTTAATGTACTTTTAATCTTTTGTTGGAAGCCGCCCAGAGTGGCTGGGGAAACCCAGCCAGATGGGCGGGGTATAAATAAATTATTATTATTATCAACGGTGGATAGAGCCCTCTGTTAGGTAGAATATAGGTTCATCAACAGTAGCACCCCCTGTGTGAGCTCCTGCAGGAAGCCAGTTTGATTCCCAAGTTTGTGAGGGCTTCCTTTTTGCCAAGCATAAGCTGCATAACTTTCTAACCACCAGGAAAATGTTGTCAGTTTTGTTGTTTGCACTCTGGCCATGATCTTCCATGATTTCTGGCTGATGAGCGATAAGGTTTGCTCTCATCTCCTATCCCTGATGTAGGTTCTTTACTTCAGATGTGACCTCTTTAGTTTGGTTGGTTTGCCTGGTGGTGCCATTTTACTTGCACATTCATCTCTGTATTGCCTACTTGAACTGAAGATTATTATGTATTTTTTTAGTGGCTTTCTCAAGGACCACATATTCTGACTAGCTTTTAAAGATTTGGTGAATCAGGTTAACTTGGTTGCTAATGTCAGGTGGTTAGTGGCCTGTGGAAATGCCATAGAAATACATTCCCTTCCAGTATCTCACCACTAGTTAAAAAGTTTTTATTCATCTCCTAAACATGCATAGAATCATATTGTTAGTGTGATTTTGTGGTGTTAGAACACTTTCACTGTGTGGAAAACAGGAAACTAAGCAATGCCTTTTGGTAAGAGGTCACCACCATGAATGTGTTGTAATGGGAATTGGTAGTCTGAAAATAAGCAACAACTAGTGTAGATTTTCGGAAGGGGAGCAGGTTCACACTAAGGCCACTTCCTTCTTAATTCCCTTCAAATATTGTTTCTGCCTTAAAAACTTGGTACTGTATAACCCACTCATTTTAAGTGTGCAACTGCTGAAATAGAGCTGCCAGGAGGAGCTAAAGGCTATCTAGGGAAATGGCCATTAACCATCCAGTTAAGTTCATCTCTTATGCACCATCCGCACCACATTTTCTCAGATTTGTCACTTACTAAATGAATTGCACACTAACCCAAATGTTGTAACTCTTCTGAGCAGAATCTTTCTGTTACTTGGCACTTTCAAAGGTGCAGAGTTACATGAGCTTGGATGGGCAAGGCTTTTTTCCTTCGGTCATATTTCACTAACCTTGTTAGCATTCTTTTGTGTCTACCTCCCCTCCCAACCCACAAAAAAACCCCAACAATTTTGTCTACCTAAGAGTTGCCTTTGGTCTTGATCTGTTGCAATCAACCTCGTGCTGCAGTTTCTGGTAATGTGAAGAGCCAGCCAGCTCAGTGTTGTGGTTGGTGAGTCAGTCTAGGACAGGGAAGCCCTGGGTTCGGCCCTGTATACCTGAAGGAGCGTCTCCACCCCCCATCATTCAGGTCAGACACTGAGATCCAGCTCTGAGGGCCTTCTGGAAGTTCCCTGATTGTGAGAAGTTAGGCTACAGGGAACCAGGCAGAGGGCCTTCTCAGTAGTTGGCGCCCACCCTGTGAAACGTCCTCCTGTCAGACATCTGAAGGCAGCCCTGTATAGGGAAGTTTATAGTATTTGATGTTTTACTGTGGTTTCATAATTTGTTGGAAGCTGCCCAGAATGACTGGAGCAACCCAGTAAGATGGGTGGCATAGAAATAATAATAATATTAATAATAATAGTAATAGTAATAATAATATAATAATAATAATAATAATAATAATAATAATAATAATAATATAATTCAAATCCCTACTTTACCACAAAAACCTTCTCTCTTAGCCTAGCCTATATCACAGGGTTATTGTAAGGCTAAAAATGGGATGTACACTGCCTGGAGATCCTTGAAATAAAGGTATGGGATGTTTAATAGAATATTTTTTCTCCTCCAAGGGAATAAAGCTTGTAGCTTGCTTTCCATAGAGTGCTGCCTTCCAAAGAGATGCCTTGCTTGTATAACATGAGTATCTTGAAGAGCATTATACTGAGTAACAAATAACAGAAAGCCTTTGTCGCTGTGGTACTGAAACCCATATAAGTTTACATAGGCATTTAAAGAATGATATGCTGATCTGGCCAGTGTCCCTTGGGACTTCTAATCCTGTTTATCACCAAGTGCTGAACTGCTGGAGGTTAAGAACACAGAAGATCCTGTCTGATAAAATTGCTCTGAAAAGAAGTAAAAATGCCTTTATTTTATTTATGTATTAATTAAATTTGTATAGTGCCCTTTATCCAAAGATCACAGGGCAATTTACAGCATAATAATACAAAATGAGAACACAGAATACATAAACAAACCAATAACAACCCCCCTCCAACCAACACATTTAAAAGGCCATAGATTGTTTAATCAGCCAAAGGCCTGATTATAGAGGAAGCAATTTTGTCTGGTACCTAAAGATGTATAATGAAGGCACCAGGCAAGTCTACCGGGGGAGAGCATTCCACAATTGGGGAACCACCCTAGAAAATGCCTGTTCTCGTATTGCCAGCCTCTGGACCTCTCATGGAGGGTTGCTTTAATCACATTCTGAGCTTTTTCTGACAATGTGGCTAGAGGTGGCAAATAAGAGAAGTTGCTGGATCCTCAGTTCTGCTGGCCTGTAAAGGGTTGGGGTATTTACTTATTAAATGTGTTACCTTCTATGTTCCATTCCAGTGCCAAAGCCACAGCACCTGGGTTTTGCTTTTGGCTTAATTTTCTCCCCCACTTCAGTTAAAGACACACTGAGTTCTTCTAGTCTAGTAAGAAAACTGATAATACACTATTTGGACACCTCTTAAGATATTGCAACTAACTTTTGCATGATGGTTCCTGAGTTCAATGAGTTGGTTTTCAGCTGTGTTTGGATACAATTGGATGCTATTTTGAATCAAAGTGGCAGACTGATTTCAAAACTGCATTGGTTTCCCCCCCTTAGAATACATAAGCATTGGAAAGTAAAAGGCTGCTAGTTTAAAATAATGTAAAGAAATACTGCTGATGGAAGAAGTCTCTTGAGTGATAGTACTTTAATACTTCCCTTTAAATTCCTTAGGTGGCATGCAGGATTATAACTACTTGTGGGCCAATTGCTTTGAAGTCACCTTTGAGCTTTCTTGCTGTAAATACCCACCAGCTTCGCAGCTTGAGAAGGAATGGGAGAATAACCGGGAATCTCTTCTCACCTTCATTGAAAAAGTAAGATATTGTTTTGGCCCTTTTGCAGGCTGTTTGAAATGTCAGATACTTCCATCTGTCACATGGACATGTACTTGTGTTGAAAGGTGATGACCCCATTCACAGGCATTGGGGTTTCATTTCCTGTAAGTGTTGAGCGTGCCTCAACTGCACCCTAGGCCAATCAGACAAAGTAGAAAGCTCACAAAATGTGATATGACTGATACCTACATTTTCCGGAAACAACTGAATACATGTTTGTCCTGATGGGTTTTTTCTCAGTTGGATTAGTAGGTCTTCCATGGGTAGAATATTGTTTATTTTATTTATCTTATTTTATTTTATTGGTTTGTTTCATTTAAATATATCAACTGGGGTTTTTTTGTTTTTGTTTTGGCTATTTTTATTAAACTTCACCCTTGAGACACTTCTGTGGAAAGTGATTTTAAAAAATCAATAACGATAATAACAAATGAAACAAGCAGATACTAGGAGTTGTCTCCAATTAATTTCTACTCAGAGGAGACCCACTAAAGTTATTAAACTTAAGCTAGTCATAAACATTAATTTCAACAGGTCTGCTCCAAACAGGACCAACATTGAATACAACCCATATTTATGACCAAGCAACAGTCAGGAAATATCTCTGATGTATCTTTTGTTTTGTTTCTAATCATTTTCTATCACCCAAAACAAGAGGTGTGTCCATTAAGCTAATGTCCTGTCGCCTATATATTAGCCTTGATGTCATTTAGCATGAATCCCCTTTCTTCCTGGCACCTTGCCCTCTTTTTGCCCTCAGAATTATAGCATTGGTTCAGTATAAACCTTCCTGTAGATGGTTGTTGCTGTAGATGTGTTTTGAAAGGCTTTTTCTGTGTGTGGTGTGGTGTGGTGTTTTCAAGACAGAGAGAGCATTCTAGTCAAACAACATCCATTTTGAGACAGGCCTCTAAGCAATTGCAACTAAAAAAAATAGCACACCTTTCCCCTAAAGTGGTGACTGGGTGTCTCCGTCTGCCGTTGCCTTTTGCAAACCTGATAAAAAGAGCACAAGTTGTCTTTTGCTGCTGTTTTACAGAATTCTGTCACAGGATTGAATGACACTCTCTGTTCTATTATAGTGGAAGAGTATGGGGGACAAATGCAGCCTCTTTCCCCCCTGCAGATAAAGGAATGGGGAAAGCAAGCATAGTTACACTAATCTGCAGCAGCATCTCACATTTCAGACAGATCTAAATGCTGATAGCTGATACTCTTTTTTGTCTTGTCTACTTAATATTCTGTAACTCAGATAATAAAAAGTGATTCAGAAAAGCATAAATGCACTTTCAAGTAACACACAAATATGCCAGTCTCTAATTCTGTTTGTGCATTGGAGGTGCAGTTTTTATATCTTGGTGGAAAAGGCTGTATTATGTGTGTCATTGTTTGCCTATGAATTTAATAGCACTATGTACCTTTCACAGTGAACTCTAAGCATGAAATGAGAAGTTTTATAGAGTAAAAAACAACAACAACCACCATGGTGATGAGGCAAAGAATCATATTGCTCTTCAATGATGTGCCTGTCTTTTGATCTATTTCATGTTTAATCTGTGCAGGTTCACATTGGAATCAAAGGGTTTGTGAGGGATTTGGTGACTGGGGCTGGCTTGGAAAATGCAACTATTGCTGTGGCTGGGATTGATCACAACATCACAACTGACTGGTTTGGTGACTATCACAGACTGCTGGTGCCTGGGACCTACAACATCACAGCTGCTGTCATGGGGTAAAGTCTCTGATGCTGGCAAAGACACTGTGCTGCTGTCTCTTGCACTTGGCAAGGCCGCTCCTAGTTGGAAGCTCCTTCCCTGAAACAGTAGAAGCCATTCTTGCTGCCTTGTCTCGTATCACCCTGAACCGTTTGCTCATATTGCTTTATGCAAACAGAAGCAAGAGGCAGGCCAAGTCCAAGGGCAAGGAAGGGCTCCTTGAGTTCCCATGAGAGTTAAGCACCCTTCCTACCCTTAACTGTGCTTTGCTAAATTCTTTGTAGATAAGGTGGAGAGACTTGTATGGTGACAAGCTGTTTTGGCTCAGCAAACAGAATTGGGTTTTGACATGGGGACCGTGGGATTAGATGCAGAAATTAAGTAGGTGGCTTTGTGATCAGTTTTCTGTCTGTGAAATGGGAATAATACTGAAGATGAAGTGGACTTTATATTAAAAACCACGTTTTACCAAGTATTGAATGACAACAATTCTGTTCATATTTACCCAAGAGTTAGTTCCACTGTATCCAGGGGGACTCTCTTCATAGCAGTTGTATGTAGATACTGCCTGAATGTTGTAATACATTTTCCTCCAGAGTTTTAGTTAGCCCTTCCTAGGTGAGGCCAAGCAGATTGAATTTGAAGCAGAAGGAAAGTTCTTGTATCCATTTCTCTTTTTTTGCAGCTACCTGCCAGTCACCAAAGTGAACGTAGAAGTCAAGGAAGGGAATGCAACTGTTGTGGACTTCTCCTTGCAACCTTCAATAGCGGTGCCGGCCTCTGACCCAACCCAGGATGTGCCACTAGCCACCACAGAGTCTGTTACCAACACCACCAACACCACTGATGCAAATAGGACAACTTCCTTCCACCAAGCGATCCAACCAGAGGAATTCCGCCATCATCATTTCCCTGACATGGAGATCTTCCTGAGGAAATATGCCACCGAGTACCCAAATATTGCTCGCCTCTACTCAGTTGGCAAGTCGGTGAAGCAGCTGGAATTGTATGTCATGGAAATATCTGACAACCCAGGCATCCACGAAGCAGGTAGTTAATTTAGCCTGTGGCTTTTTCGCTTCTATGAATGTGCTTCCCAGGGACGCGGGTGGCGCTGTGGTCTAAATGACTGAGCCTCTTGGACTTGCTGATCAGAAGGTCAGCGGTTCAAATCCCCGTGACAGAGTGAGTTCCCGTTGCTCTGTCCCAGCTCCTGCCAACCTAGCAGTTTGAAAGCATGCTAGTGCAAGTATATAAATAGGTACTGCTGCGGCGGGAAGGTAAATGGTGTTTTTTGCACTCTGGCACTTATCACAGTCCTCTGTGTGCCAGCAACGGTTTAGTCATGCTGGCCACATGACCCAGAAAACTGTCTGTGGACAAACGCTGGCTCCCTCGGCCTGAAAGTGATATGAGCACCGCAACCCCATAGTCACCTTTGACTGGACTTAACCATCCAGGGCTCCTAAAAAAAATTTGGTGTGCTTCAATAGAAACTTTGGAACAAAAAACCCCACCATTGTCTTTGATACTCCTCCAAGGGTGCAGGCACTGGAGCACCGCAGAGGCAGCACTGACACTCCAATCTCTGAAGGTAGAAGAGAAAGCATTTAACTGAGCTGGGTTTGTGTGCAGCTGGCTGAAGCCACCTTGTTACTGTGGCTGCTCCTATCCAGGTAGCATTCTGCAGGTAGCATCTCTAAAGATGTAGTGCTTTCTTCCAGTGAGCTCAGCAGAATATGAGGATTACCTGCCTTATTCTGAGTCAAGCCATTGGTCTATCCAATTCTGTGTTGTCTACACTCACTGACTGTGGCTCTCCAGGGTTTCAGGCAAGGATTCTTTTCCAGCCCGACCTGGGGGTGCAATTGTGGATTGAACTGGGGACTTTCTGCTTGCAAATAAACAGTCTCCTTGCAAAAAAAAAGAGCCTCTTAGTATCAGATACCTTGTGCTGGGCTCCACAGGAAGCTGTTGTTGCTGGTTTTGCAGAATACAGTACTTCAGATATCTTTTGTTCTTCCCAATTCCTTTTTATCTTAAAACCTCAGGAGATCTTTCTCTGTCTCTCTCTTAATACGGTGCAGTACTGAAATGGTTAATTGCAAGTGGGGAAATTAACCTCATTAACTAGTCAACTGCCAGCTACTGGTTCTCTTTCTGCCTTTATTAGATTTTGGAGATGGGCTATCAAAATCTTTATTGTCAAGTACTAATTCTCTGGAACATGCTATGCAAGTCAAAACTTGTCAGGAAGCTCTTTTTTGTAATAAGAATTTGTAACAGAGACTTCTTCAGTTAAATAATGAAAGGGGAGGGGGATTGTATTTTAGAGACTGAGCTTGATTTATAGATTGATTTTTTTTTTGTTCTACAGCTTTAGATTTTATTGGGACTCCTTTGGGATTCTTGAGTTCTGTTTCCTAAACGCAAGTTCTATTATAACTTCTGTTGAATATAACTAGCCCATTATTTTTGCTTAAATGATGGCTGCACTGGGTTTGATTCTCCTTGTTATTTCAGAAATGATAGTCCAGAATTACTTATCATTTTAAGTGTATATGTTTGGGTAAGAATATCCAAGACGGTTCAAGAAATAAATAGTTTATAAATATGATGTATTTATGTTTTTAAAAGATAACTTTGGATAAAATCCAATGTTTGGCATACTTAGAGTAAACCCATTTAAATCAATGGACTTAAGTAATGACCATTCTTTATAATGGAGCTACTCTGAGCATGACTAACATTGGATAATCCCCCCCTTACGTTTTGGCCATTTGATATTTTCATGGTTTTTGACAGTTGTCTGTCTCCCCTCTCCATCATTGTGATAATGTTCTCACTGATTATTCAGTTGCTGCTATTTACACTTATACTTCCCCAGGAAAGATGTAAAATGTGTCTGGATGGTGTGTTTGAATTTTACAATGATTCTCCTTGAGACTTTCCACTGTTATTGTTACTGTGATCATTTTTTGTTATCCTTTCCTTTTCCTATTCAAAGAAAAGCAAATTATGACACATAGGAAGTAAGGATGCTTGCATCCATTTTTTGGTTCTGTATTGTGGCTTCAACTAATTTACTGTAGTGCCAAAGGAATTCCTTTACTGCCAAGGAAGGGGCTGGTTGAGGCTATATTATTACTTCCTTTTTTTGCTGCTTGCACATTTCCCCCTGTGTGTGTGTGTTCACATTCCTTGAATCTGCAGTACTTGAATAGTCCAGTAAATGTAAGAGTGACCTTTAAAATTACTTGACACTTGCAAAAAACACAATGCCCAGCTAAAGGCATAATGGGTCATTTCTTCCCCAGTAGTTGGAAATGGCTGGAAAGTCAACAGTTGACTGACATGGTCATATCTTTGCTCCTATGGGGTTGAAGTGTGTCTCCTTTTTTTTGTAAGTTAGCTTTTTTAACGTTTAATAGGGCAATGTATACATCTTACCAGCACAATAATAATGGAAACCACAAAAGGAAAGCACAACCCTCTAACAGTTGTGAAGGGGTGACTAACTTGTGGTCTTTGAGATGGTGTTGGACTCCAAACTCCCATCAGCCCCCGTCACCATTGCCAATAGGCAAATATGGGGCAAGCTGTAGTTCATCCTATAAATATTCATTGCTATATTAGTACTAACACCTATTGACATTAGCATCCACTACCATAATCTTCTGGCAAAGAATTGTGTCCAGCCCGATTATTTGGGCAGAAGACACGGCCAAGCATGGCATCTCCATGCCAGCAATAAGGAACTTGAGAACCCCAAGAAATGTGGGGCCACCCCAAATACTTTGACAATCTCTTGCACCCCAAGCAAATGTAGGACTAGGTGCCATTCTGTGCCATCTCACAGAAGGGGCTCCCCTGGAGGTGTGGGTGTTTGACTTACAGTGTCCCAAAGCTTATTTTGGATTGTGCAGCCCCTGATCCTTACCATTACACTGGCTTCTATTGGCATGAGGATGCCCTGTCTTGTGGTGTTCTCTGCTGTCTGCTGGTCACTTCTTGTCTGAAGCATGGCCCCACCAGGGAAGAGACCTCAGCAAAACACATGGGGCTTCTCAACACTCTACAGGGGAGGTGGCCTGAGCCACTATTCCAAGTGGTCACCCTTATTCAGCCTATTATACGGACAGCCTGACAGTTGGGGATGAAGAAAGCCTGTTTTGCTCAAAGCAGGGCGTAGCAACTTTCAATATGTGGTTTCTTATGCTAGCCTGACTGTCTCAAATTATTTTGCAAGTATGTTAAGCATTTGTGGGTATTTTTTTATTTGTGTGGTGTTTTTTTTGCTATTTTCATTAGAATAGAGTTCACTAGATGCAGTGCATTATCCAGGTAGACAAACAACTAAGAGGAGGTTACTTGGTCTAACATGTTTCTCTCTGCCCTCCCTCACCCCCGCTTTCATCCAGCTGAACCAGAGTTCAAGTATATTGCAAATATGCATGGCAATGAGGTAGTAGGAAGAGAGCTTCTCCTTAATCTCATTGAGTACCTCTGCAAGAACTATGGCACAGATCCTGAAGTAACTGACTTGGTCCAAAACACTCGGATCCACATCATGCCATCCATGAATCCTGACGGCTACGAGAAAGCCCATGAAGGTAGCTGTGTGTTTTCATTTTGTGCTTTCCACCACTAGTGGCTTTAAGGCAGGGGTCAGCAAACTACGGTCCGTAGGCCGGATCCAGCCCAATTGCCCTCAAGATCCAACTCGTGGACATTCCGTGGATCGGTGATTCTGTTTGTTTTGTTTTTTTCATTCCCCCCCCCTCACACACCACAGCACCTGCTCCTGGTTTCTCCCCGCCCTTCTCCCCACCCTGCGTAGTGGAGGAAGGGGGCTGGCTGAGCGCCATTTTGGGCAGCGCCTCTCCGGATCCAGCCAGCCCTTTCGGGCCGCTTGTCCCGCCGCCAACACCCTCTGCCGCTCACAAGGGCAGGCACAGGAGCCGCGATTGGCAGAGTGCAGCACAGCACCTCTCCCAACTGCAGCTCCTGTGCCTGCCCTTGCGAGCGGCAGAGGCTGGCGGCGGCAGTGGCGCAGCAGGACGAGCAGTCCGAAAGCAGCCCTCGCAAGGGCAGGCACAGGAGCCGTGGTTGGGAGAGGCGCTGCGCTAATGGCAGCAGCATAGGTAGGCAGGGGGAGTGGAGGGGCTGGGGGAGAGAGAGAAGCCTTCTCTGCCCCCCACGCATGTGATCCAGCCCGCCACATGGTCTGGGGGATGCTGAACCGGCCCCCTCCAAAAAAAGTTTGCTGACCCTTGCTTTAAGGGAAGGCAAAGGTAATCCTCCTGAGAGGCAACAGTTTTCCTTTGTTTTTATTACCCAGGTTTTACCACAAGGGTCCCACTTCCTTGTTTTTTCTTTTGCCATGGCAGAATGCCTGCCTTTGTTTTGTTCATGGCATCTTATCTCCCCAGTCGGCCTTTTAAGGGCAACTTATTCTGTTTGTCTCCATTTTAGCAAGAGGACAGTTATTTGGCAGGGATCTGATCCAGGGATATTTCATCAGATCTTCTGGCATTTTAACATGGTCCAAGAGAATTATTATTTCTGGAGCGCCTAGAAAGACCAGGCACTTCACATAAAACAAAGCTAAGATGCCTTTTTTGCTTTCAAACATGCAATGTGCAAGGAAAGAAGAGTAGAAGGAAATGGCTGTTCTTGGTGGAGAGGTGGTTTTTTTATCAGGCATTTAAATATATCGGAAGAGGCTGGAGGGAGGTATCAGGTAGTACAGTGATAGGAGGCAGCAAGTAAAAACAGGTGGAGTCAGGGACTGGGAGGATGTAATCTTGGGTTTATGAAGAGCAGAGGGACCAGAGACACAAAGAATAGAATCCCAGAAGAACCCTGCAAGGTTCTTCTAACCCAGCACCCTGATCTCATGTAGGCCAACGAGATGCCTCTTCTGAGAAGCTCAACAGGTTTTGTTTTCTTTCCTTAGGAGACCGATTGGGGATTGTTGGCAGAAACAACAGCAACAACTATGACCTGAATCGGAACTTCCCTGATCAGTTCTTCCAGATCACTGACCCTCCACAGCCAGAGACATTAGCTGTCATGAGCTGGCTGAAGACCTACCCATTTGTGCTTTCTGCAAACTTACATGGAGGTAAGAGAATCCTGGTCTCTCGTAGGTTTAAGGTAGGGTTGTGCTGCTGAGTACCCTGCAGGCAAAGCTTAGGTAAGCAGCTGTGGAGGTAAACTGGATCTCACTGTGCCTGTGGAAGCTCCATCCCTTCTAAATGTTTTTCTCTGACTCTGGAGTCATTGCAAGAAAATTTAGCAAGTGGCTGGAAGGACCTTGAGGAAACTGTGCTTCAAGGTCTGGAACTGGATCTTGCCAGTGGGCCAGATAGTTATCTTCCCCCATCTCCTATGTGGCCACCCACCTGTCAATCACCTGATGTCACAATGACTTTTCTGCACCATGTGGGTCTTGCAAGAGCGTCTTGCAAAAGCTCTCCACAAGCCCCTATTGGGAAGCCCTTTCAAAACACTATTTTGCATGGGGGGTTGCAGACACTGCTAGTAGTGCCTGCAAACTGGCTGAGCCAGGTTTTTAACTTGCCCCACCCACACCTGATGTCACCTGTGATGTTGGGTGTAGAGCAGGTGGGCATGACTTGACCAAAATGGTGGACCTAATGAGGCTTGTGGGCCAGTAGCTCACCACCTCTGTTGTATAGTGATGGGACTCATTATAAAACATGCTCTCTGAAGCTTTTTGAAAAGAGATTTTTAACCCAGTTGGTAACTGTACTGGATTTGAAATGGTTTTTATACATGCCATTATTTTATATATGTATTTATTGTATTGTGAAATTGCTTTGAGATGCTTCTGAGAAAGCAGTTCATAAATAAACGGTAATAGCTTGGTATTTTTTTTAACTTACACCCTTTATCCTAAGACCTTTTGGGTGTCTGTAAATAGAAACACTCTAGAAGGCTCAGCCCAACCTTGTTAGCCTTCCCCTCCCCCCCCCCAAGTTTATTGCATTGCTAGTAGTTCCCTAGGCTACTTGGCTGCTGTTGCTGTGACCCAAGATTGATACCTTTAAAAAAAAAAGTTGCATTTTGTCTGATGACATTTAGCCGGGAAGTCTGTCCTTGCTCAACTTTTAAGTCACAACCTGTAGTAAAGTGCCATTTGCATTCAGTGTCAAAGCTTCTCAGTAGCTGTTTCATTTCCTTGTCTTTTGCCATACTAAGTGACAAGCGAATGTGACTTGCTGTCTCTTAGACCAAGTGAATTCCAGTAAGGGGCTTCAGTGTTGCTACACAATCTTCATTGTTGCCTGTGTTTACTGAGCTTTTGTCCTGTAGTTAATCCCTGAGACTAGGGACATAGCAGGCTTTCTTGTTGATGGATTGATTGGTTATTTAATTTCTATATCACTTAATATACTAAAAATCTAAGTGGTGTACAAAAAACTGAAGCAACAACAGACAACTTAAACGAAATATTACAAAAATACACTGTTACATATAAAAATGTAATATTTGTTCTTTAGCATGTTGGCAAAGCAGCCACCTTGTAGAAAAAAACTGTTAGGTCCATATTTTCCTTTATTTTCTTTCAGGCTCTTTAGTGGTTAACTACCCCTATGATGACGACCAACAAGGAGTTGCGACATATAGTAGATCCCCTGATGATGCAGTCTTTCAGCAAATTGCACTTTCCTATGCCAAGGTAAAATTTCTCCCAGTGTGTCCTTTTGAGATCCTGAAATCAGATTCTCAGAGCTTTCAGTTCTTAACATGGAAAGCTGTTTCACACTTCCTTCCTTCTGTAAACAGAGATGTTTTAGGTTGTATGTACAAGATCATGGCAGGAAGGTTAGCTCCGTGAAAGACATAGAGTAATTCTGTGACGTGAACCAAATAAGATGTCTGTTTTAGATGGTGGATAATGGCACGGTCTGTGGACTGAGCTACATCTCCTATCATCGGCTTGTCCATTTGGGGGAGTAAATACTTTCCCTGATGGCTTTGGCCATAGCTCTCGCCAGATTTCTGTTCTCCTTCTCTCTCTTTGTCTTTTTCGAAGATTTAGAACCACTGGTCTGCAGTGGTTGGTGTCCAATTAAGACTGGGGTGTCTTTGGTTTAAATCTGCACTCAGCTATGATACTTACTGGGGGCACATTCAGCTTAACCTACCTTGCAAGGTGTTTGTAGAAAAAGTGGTGAGATTGTTTAAACATTGTATATTGCCTTGGCTTCTTGAACAAAAACTAAAGTTATTACATTAATTGCTTAATCTACTCAAGTACACAAGTTTGTGAACAGAAGTTGAAAAATTGTATAAATAAATAGTTTGGACTTGGATTTTGGGAGGCCTGAATTCAAGGGCTTATGTTTATGTACAGTGATAATCAGGTGCATATTAATTGGTGCCATTATGTTTGAACTGTCCATGTTTTCAAATGCAGCACAGTAACTGGGAAATAAAAGCACTTGGTTGTAGCCAGTTAGGTCTACTCTGGTAGGAGTTGGCTAGAAACAGCCCATTAACTCTGGTGCTGTCAGGAAATCCAGTTTTCACAGGTGGTCATCCTTTGCTCTTCCAGGAGAACGCACGGATGTTTGAGGGTCACCCCTGTGCGGACATGTATCCTGGCGAGTACTTCCCTCATGGCATCACCAATGGAGCTCAGTGGTATAATGTTCCAGGTAAAATCAAGGCACCGTTCATTCGGGAGTCTGCAAAACCAATCCTGTCTGCCATAGCTTGTGGCATCCCAATCCACTCTAGGTGGTTTTGCATTCTAGAGGTGAAGAAAACCTTGTTTCTGACAAACAAGATTGAAATACAACAAGAATTATATTGAAATTCTTTTAGTGTAAGGAAATTGTACAATGGGCTGCATCCTCTTCAAATCTCCCCCCCCCCAAAAAAAAGTTTAAAACAGCTAACTTGCTATATCTACCTTACACCTGGGCACAAGTGCTGCAGGAAGAATAACTTGTATGTTCTTCCTGACAGTTTTTCCCATCTCCCTTGTGATTTTGCTTTACTTTTGCATCTTTTATATGAAGAGTCAAAAGCACACTCTTCATTAAAGAACAATCCTGCTTGCCTTTGTGCAGGCCTCATGTTAAGCCTGGGCTGTCGTCCTTTGTACTAACGCATACCTGCTCAAAAGCAACATTCCTTATTTGTGTCACAGGCTCAGGGCATCATTCTGGAGTTAGAATCCTAGCTCTCAATTCATTAAGTGACAGATTTATTTCTGTGTATCATGCTACAAAGGTCCTTGCTAAGCAGAGGCATTTGATAGGGCTCTTCTGATAAATCATTGTTCTTCAGGTGGCATGCAGGACTGGAATTACTTAAACACCAATTGCTTTGAAGTGACCATTGAGCTGGGCTGCATCAAATATCCTCAGGCAGAGGAGCTGCCAAAATACTGGAAGCAGAACCACAGGTCTCTGCTGCAATTCATCAAGCAGGTGAGCTGGTGTGTTGTCTTCACAACTGTTTGCCTTTTGCTGCCTCAATCTCTTGTGCCATGAATTGTTGGAACAGGCATGACAGCATCTTTGTGTACTGTCACAATGAGAAGGCAAACTCTTTACAGAGTGCCCTGTTGAACAGTTCATTCAAGTATCAAATTTGGATAAATGAGTAATCGTAGAATGACATTCTGTGGCTTTTCTAGGAGATTCTTCTAAGACTGAGCACAAGCCCCTTCCAGTAAAGGGTGTGTGTGTGTGTGTGTGTGTGTGGCCAGGGTTGAGCCTTTCTCCATTAAAAAATCAAGACACTCATTTTCCAGTTAGTGTGTGCATATATGTTTTATAGTAGGCACTAAGCCTTAGGAATGGGCAGCCTTTGAGGATGCCTGCATGAAAAAGGTTTCCCTTTGAATTTCTTGTATTCTGAACTTCCAGAATAGGGCACCTTCTAAACCCAAGGGTGGGGAACCTTTTCTCCTGTTGCATCTGTGTGTGTATGTGTGAATGCCTACCAGCAGTGAGAAGAGCCAGAGGTTGGGGGTGGGTACTCCATTCTCTTTTTGCCCAGGATTCATATTCTCTCTCTCTCTCTCTCTCTCTCTCTCTCTCTCTCTCTCTCTCTCTTCGTGCCCAGGTCCACCAAGGCGTCAAAGGGTTTGTGCTGGATGCCACAGATGGACGGGGCATCTTAAATGCAACCATCAGTGTTGCGGACATTGATCACCCTGTCTCTACCTATAAGAGTGGAGACTATTGGCGCCTGTTGACCCAGGGAACATACAAAATTACAGCATCTGCACGAGGGTGAGTCTTTCAACTTTGTATTTGACATCTTTTCCTCTTTCGCCTAAAGCAGAATGCTGCAGCCTGATTGCTGACAGGAGTAAGGCATTATCAGCATATAACACCTGTGCTCAGAGATCTGCGCTGGTTGCTGATTTGCTACCAGGGCAAATTCAAGGTGCTACTATTAGGAGTTGGTCCATGAAAATATGTTGTGTTGGAAGAAAGTGACTTGGGTTGTAAAAGGAAAGATTTGCTTTTAACATGGAATTGGGTGATTTCTCCCAAATAGACTGTGAGCCTGTAGGATAAAATGTTCTCTATATGGCATGGTGTTGGAACTCACCCTGAGGCCGTATGGTATGAAAATAGAAATAAATACTCTGGGATCAATAACTGCTATTGTTGTTGATTAAGCTGCTGGGCCAGTGGCTCTTTTCAGCGAACACTATTTAATATTGCTACTCCCTTTATGAGCTTGTTTGACAGTCACTGAGTTAGAGCCTGTAGCACCATCTGTTGGCCAAGAAGCAAAGCATATGTTCAATTCCTGGCCATGCCCTAAAAACCCTGTTTTAAGAAACCAGGAGATGCCCATTTTGTATGCTGGAGCCCAGAGCTCCTTTGTAGCCACTTCGTTCTTCTTCTTACCTGAACCACTGAACAAACCCAGATTCATCACTTAACCCCAGAGCTTCCCGTTGTGGGTGAACCCAGAGACTATTGTTAATAGCTTTCATACAGTCCATGATATGAACCCAGCTTTAAACCATGATATGCAACTATAGCATTCTGTCCACTGAATCTGTGGTTGGAATCAACAGCATGGCATGTGCCTGTTTCTTCTTGCACAGACATTCCTTCAAGATTCCTAACATATATTTAATTGTTATGCTGAAGTTTAATAATATTTATTACTTTTATCAGTAATCATTATAAAATAACAACAGCCTACATCCTATTGCCACAAGGAGTCAGAATGTTCAGTTTTATTGTACGCAATTTTCAAATTCTCCCCCTACCTCCTTTTTTTGTTTTTTTGAAAGGTATAATTCAGAAACTAAGACAGTGAAAGTTGGAGGTAAAGGTACAGTGCAGGTCAACTTTACTTTGACTCGAAAAGACTCCAAGGTAGAGGAGGGGACAGTACCAGATATAAATATGGTTGGCCTCAACGGCACAGTCACCAAAGAGTTTGAGACCCTGATTAAAGACCTCTCAGCAGAGAATGGCTTGGAGCGCCTCCTGCTGTCGTCATCGGCAGATGTCCAGCCTCATCGCTACCGTTCCTACAATGAACTCTCCGAGTCTCTTAGAGGCCTCAACTTGAACTATCGGAAGATCACAAATCTCTCTAGGTAGGTGGAACTCCTGGGCTATGGGGAATTCTGTTTGTTCTGGAGAAGTCACAGCTTTGCTGTAATAATGAGTCCTCTATGTAATCCTGAACAAGCATTTGACAAGCTTACTCTGAATAGGGAGTGACCCTGTGTACATTTCTGGCTAAACAAAAAACAAATTTGAACACTGTATCCACACAAACCACATTCTGTCCTGAGAAATCCCAAACTCTGTATTCTGCAAACAGAGCAAAGTTTGTTAATTTTCTCTGAATTCTTTGTTCTTTATTCTGCTTTTGTGAAACATAGAGGGGGCAACAATCTATGCAGGGATCTTAGGCTCCTGAAAAATCCTGTTTTTGCAGCCTTTGGTGTTTGCACACATCAAACACACACAAGGCTTAAGCTGTTCTTTCCATTAAAAAGCTAACCAGCTGTACTTCTATTTGTTTGTTTGTTTGTCAGCTTGGGCCAAAGTGTTGAGTTTCGTCATATCTGGTCCCTGGAAATCTCCAACAAACCCAAAGAATCTGAGCCAGAGGAGCCAAAGATCCGTTTTGTGGCTGGCATCCATGGCAATGCCCCTGTTGGCACAGAGCTGCTCTTGGCCTTGGCAGAGTTCCTCTGCATGAACTACAAAAAGAACCTGGCCATTACCAAGGTAGGCTGTTGCATGTCTCTCAGCTTCAGGATGTCCCTTCCGGGCACTCTGTGGACTATTAGAGGGGGATGTGGCTTAACAGAGGATATGTCTGAGAAGAACTCTCAGGTTGGGTGAGGGAACCTATGGCTCTTTAGGTGTTGCTGAACAGTGGTGATGGGAGCTGCAGTTCAGCAACATCCAGAGGGCCCAAGGATCCCCACCCCTGCCTCAGGAGATCCAAAGTGATGCTGAGTGCAAAGGCTGATTTGTCAGCCTCTACTTCTCAGATGGGAAAGACATGGCTTTTACGTGGTATATTGGAGCTAAGAGTACAACACCACGAGACTTCAATAAATCTGACCAATAATAATAATAATAATAATAATAATAATTTAGTATTTATACCCCCGCCCACTCTGGGCGGCTTCCAACAAAATATTAAAATACAGTAATTGATCAAACATTAAAAGCTTCCCTAAACAGGGCTGCCTTCAGACCAAGGGATAGCCGTGAGAGCATTCGAAGTAGCCCCAGTGCCATTCAAGCAGTGACAGGTACCTATGGGAGGGGCAAACACTGCTTTCATTTCACTTTTGGAAATTCCTCAACTTCTCTTCAGTTCTTCTCCCAGACTGTCAAACTGCTGACAGTTGTGGGATGTGGAATAATGGTGGAGGGCCTCCTGCACTTCCCGCTTCTCCAGTAGAGGCAGTTCTGTGCAAAACAGCCTTGGCTGCTCCTTCCCACCCTAGTCCTGCCACTTATCCAAGGAAAAACCAACTTCCCTCTTTCTTCACACCCACCCCCTTTAGATGGATAGGGTCGGCTGATGCTTGATGATTCTCCCTTACTGTTTCTGTGTGTTTTTTTAGCTGATTGACAATACAAGAATTGTCATCGTGCCATCCCTGAATCCAGATGGGCGAGAGATTGCTCAGGAGAGAGACTGCACTTCCAAGACTGGCCTGACCAACATTCATGGCAAAGATCTGGACACTGATTTCACAAGTAAAGCACACACACCCTTCCTGTGCCAAATCCTTTAATCCTAACCTGGGGAGGGGTGTCTAATGGGTTAAAGAGAGCCCTGTTGTGGCACTGTACTAATTGCCTTTATCTACGCACTTTGATGGCTTGCCATTGAGTAGAAATGTGAGTGAATGGTCAGGTGCTTCAGTGCTGTGGCAGCAGCCTTGACAAAGCTTGTGTACTGTCTGGAGTCACCTGTTCCTCACCAGGTTGTTACTGAGTTGTTTGCTTGCCTCAGGTCTTGAGAACCTCTGTGTCTTACTCCATTAGGCAATTCCTCTGGGGCAAGAGAACCGGAAACCAAGGCCATCATGGACAACCTGATACTGAAGCAAGACTTCAGCCTCTCTGTTGCCTTGGACGGAGGATCTCTGCTTGTCACTTACCCCTATGACAAGCCTGTGCAGACAGGTAATGGTTGTGCCATCCTCTGAGTACTTTGGAAACAACTTGTGGGATTATCTTCAATCTTTTAAAGAGCACTCCATTCCCTGCTGCTTCTTGAGAGAGTAAACCAGACATGGAGAACCTGGACCGGGCATGGGGAACCTTTGACCATTCATCCCTGGCCATTGAGCATGCTTGGCTTCTCATCAGCTATTATAATGAGACCATGACATTTGCTGTCTGCCTCAAGCACCACAGGCTGAATCACACACTTGTTGACTCTCTAACTTCCCTTTTCTTTTTATAGTGGAGAACAAAGAGACTCTGAGATATTTGGCATCTGTGTATGCAAACAACCATCCCACAATGCATCTGGGCCAGCCTAGCTGTCCAAACAAGTCAGGTATGTGCCCAGGGTGCTCTGGACCTTTTGGGGCAGGCTTGTTTCTTACAAAGAGCTTCTGATTTTATGTTTCTCTCTTGCAGATGAGAATATTCCTGGAGGAGTGTTGCTTGGGGCTGAATGGAACAGTCACCTGGGAAGCATGAAGGTATTTCACAGTTGTACTACACTTTGGGGATCTTGTTTCTCTTAGCCAAATTAAATCAAAGTTGCCAGTGGTGGCGCTTTGGTCCAGTCCTGTCTCTCTTTCCTGCCACAAACCCTCTTTTTGCATTTGTTTTTCTCAGGATTTTAGTCTTTCCTACGGACACTGCCCAGAGATTACGGTATACACTGGCTGCTGTTACTTCCCCAGTGCGGGGCAGCTTCCTACTCTCTGGGCGGAGAATAAGAAATCTCTTCTCAGCATGCTGGTGGAGGTGAGTTTGGACTTGAATGCATTCAAGCTTTTGTTTGCAGTTGCTCAGAATGGGCTGGACACCACGTTAGATTTAAGGATGGAATTTCTTGTAGCTGTTTACTGTTAGATATTCATTGTACATGGAACCGATATTAAAAAATGTATACACATAAATCATTAAACAGCACAGAGCACTCATTAAATGAGTGTCTACTCAAGCAAATATTAAACAACTGTCAACGTTAAAGGCTTCAGGAAAAGCCTGAAAATCCAGAGTGAGGCTGCCAGCAGAATCTCTGCTAGAATTGTGTTCCCAACCATGGGACCAGTGGCACCCAGTACAGTGGTGCCTCGCAAGACGAAATTAATTCGTTCCGCAAGTTTTTTCTTCTTGCGAGTTTTTCGTCTTGCGATGCACGGTTTCCCATAGGAATGCATTGAAAATCAATTAATGCGTTCCTATGGAAAACGACTTCAGACCAGGTCCGGGGACAATCTGTCCCCCGACCTCTTCTGAAGGCTGGGGGGGGCGAAAGTCTTTGCTCCCCCCCCCCCCACGGCAGCATTTTAAAATCGCCCCAGACAGCCGAGGACTTCTCTGCTGTCCGGGGTGATTTAAAAGCCCTCCCGGGAAGGCAGCCAGGGGGGACAAAGATTTTCGCCCCCCGCCAGCCTTCCCCTCTTTTGAAGCCTTCGCTGCCGCCCGCCAGCATTTTAAAAAACCTCGGGACAAAGGAGAAGTCCCCCGCTGTCCCGGGGTTTTTTTAAATGCTGCTGGGCGGCAGCGCTGCCGCCCGCCAGCATTTTAAAATCGCCCCGGACAGCGGAGAAGTCCTCCGCTGTCCCGGGGTTTTTAAAAAACCTCTCCGCCCCCCGCCAGGCTTCAGAGCAGCCTTCCGAAGCCTGGCGGCGGGAGGAGGTCCGAGGACAGTGGGCAAGACGCCCTGTCCCGGAGATTTCCCTATGGGCTTTCGTCTTGCGAAGGAAGCCCATAGGGAAATTCGTTTTGCGAAGCATCTCCAAAACGGAAAAACCTTTCGTCTAGCGGGTTTTCCATCTTGCGAGGCATTCGTCTTGCGGGGTACCACTGTACTGACTTCCAACTGAGGCCAGGCAGATCTCTATGATACAGAGGACAACTGACAGCTCTCCTCTGGGTGATATAGTGAGGACCCAGTAAAGGTGTAATGAGTGAGCTGGGATTTTGGACAAGGTTTATGCTGGTTTTAAATCCTCCTTGGCTCTGAGGTTTGTTGGGTCATCCTGGGCACACTGCCTGCCACTCTGCCTGATAATGCGTTGCGTTCCCAGTCATAAGCCTTGAGGGTAAGGCAATGAGGATGGGTCTTGCTTAATTTTTGTGCGTATTTTGTTCTGTGGAGGTTTTCTTACTTCAGGGATGGGGAATCCTTTTCAATCCAAGGGCCGCGTTCTTCTCACGGTCAGACTTCTGGGAGCCACATGCCAGAGTCAAAAATGGACGAAGAAGCAGATACAACTCTTTCTTTTGTACAGTTGGCTATACATTCCAGACTTGTAAAGGTTTCTATAGTCTACCCTCCTGTGGCAATCTCTCAGTCCAGGCAAGCAAGAGGGCAGCTAGGCAAAAGCATTTGCAGAGAGCAGGGAGCAGGACCAGGGAGGTGTGTAGCCTGCACAGTCCACGTAGAGAGGCCTGGAGAGCCACATCCAGCCTGCAGCCCAGAGGTTTCCCCACCTTTGTCTTATCGCATAGAGAAGAGAAGATTTGTATCCTTACAGAAAAGGACTTATAGATGTACACCTCCTCAGATTCCTTCCTTTCCTTCCAGGTTCATAAAGGAGTCTACGGGTTTGTCCGAGACAGGCATGGACAGCCAGTGTCGAAAGCTCAAATTGTGCTCAACGAAGGGGTAAAAGTCTACACTAAGGAAGGTGGTTATTTCCATGTGCTGCTGGCTCCTGGCTACCATAAGATCCATGCTATAGCAGAAGGCTATCAGCAGCAGCATGTCAAGGTATGGGAAAGGCACACCACAGCCTTGTTTCATGATCCTGGTGGAAGATGTGATTGAGACAGCTTTGGCTTGAGTTGGGAAGAAATGCAGTGTGAGCCCTGGAGCATTTCTTTGGCAGGCGACCATCACACAAGAACCTTCTGGGAATTGGGAGCCGGAGCTGTGTGACAGAAGGCAGACGAGAAGTCCTGGCTGTAAAGAGGAACTGAGAAGGGGGGGGTTAGGAAAGGGGGGCGCTGTGTACTTTCCGAGGGTCAGAAGGGATTTGGGAGTTAGGACACCAAATTGTGCAGGAACTCTTTGTGCCCAGGAACTCTTTGATAGGAGGAGTCTCTCTTGTGGTGGGCAAGGAGATCATGAGGAAAGGGGGTCTGCCACTGCAAGAGAAACATGAACTCACCTTCACATTGAAGGCAAGAATGTTACATGTGAACCTCTCAGAGGTTCCCACTCCACCCGAAAGGTATCCCACCACATTCCAAGCACCTGGGAATTTGGCTTTCTAACCTATTTGAGTTTGACAACATTTGTGTGTTAGGGACTGGGACAGAGTCCCTCCCCCCCCCCAACCATTGTGCTTAAAACGTACCCTAAGATTCTGTCCTTGCCCTCCCCACAAAACGAGTTCAGTGCAGACTTTTTCCTTATTCCATAAGAGAGTCCCAAGCCCCTGGCTGCTGGTACATTCGGAGAGGGGCGTGTTGGCTTCTTTTCCCACTTAACCCTGGACTTGTGCTTTCATCCACACAATTGCTGAAATGTGTACTGCTTCTTTCCAGGTCTTGGTTCGCCATGACATGGCTAGCTTTCTCCATGTGCAGTTTGACACGGACAACAAGATCTTTGGCCTGCCAAGGGAGTTGGTGGTTACGGTAGCAGGTGAGAGCCCACATTACTGTTCCCTCTTGGGTGTTGTGGGGGGAAGTGTCTGTGCCTGAATGTCTATTTAGGAGGCTAGAAAGTAAGAGATTTCCCCACTCTGGCTCTTTAAAGACTTGAGCCATTTTCTCCTCCTGTGTCCCCTGCATGCCCCATGGCTCCTGAATCTAGGATGCCTTTGCTTGCTATGAAGAACAGCTTCATATATTAATATGTGGGAGGTATTTTCTTACGTAAACATGCAAAATGTAATGTGTGTAAATGTAACTTAGGTGCATGATAAACCCATGGAGTTGCATGTGTCGTCTTCTGTTAAAGAAGCTTCTGCCCTTGTCCTGATGTTGATGTGTGGGTTTTGATTTCTCTCACACACAACCCCCTTTTTCCAGGGGCTACCATGACAGCTGTGATCCTGACAGCCTGCATCATCTGGTGTGTGTGTTCCATCAAGTCCAACCGGCACAAGGACGGCTTCCACCGCCTACGACAGCACCATGACGACTATGAGGACGAGATCCGTATGATGTCCACGGGCTCCAAGAAGTCCTTGCTGAGCCACGAGTTCCAGGATGAAACGGACACTGAGGAGGAGACACTCTACTCTAGCAAACACTGACCCACCCGGCAGCAGGGAAGTTCCCTGCAGAGACAGATCCTGCAACACTGAGCATTTCCCCCTTCTCAAGCGATGGACCCAGAACGTGTGTCCTCCCAAACCTTTGCTCTTGGCTCATGCCAGTTCCTGGTTTATGCACAAGGAGGGCACCCCACCCCACCCCACCCTCCAGCTGGCTTCTCTTCTAGTCAGGAGTGCAACTGGAAGCTTAGTTGCTTACAAGCCCACTCAAGGGAGGGGAACAACCAAATGGTTTTGTGGCGTTGCTAGCACTTCGGCAATGTTTTCCCTAAGCCCATCTGAGACTTTTCACTCCATGCAATTATCTGTGGGAAATTCACTGTAGCTGCCAAGATGTTTTGTCTAAACTACTGCTGCTCCAGCAGCATATGGAAGTCTCTGGAAACTCTTATTCTCTTCTGCCTGGGGCAGGGTCAATGGGTGCAGGGTGTTAGGAAACTGGTCTTTGCTCACTACTTAGAGGAATTAAGCTCTTCCTTCTGTTAAGAATGACTTCAGGTTAGGTTATTTTGGCAGAAGCCTGGTTCATGGTTACCTTTGACTCCTAGCAAGAGAGGAGCGTTGTATCAAGATGCAAGAATCTATGTCTCCAGTAAAGGTGACAGTTTTTTGAAAAATAAAAAACGTGTTTTGGTTGAGTTCTCTCGCACCGATCCTGCTTCAGAAGTTCTGATGTTCACTATTTGACAATGTAGACTAGCAAGAGTCTAATGCTAGCTAGATTGTGAGCCAGAATTCCTGGCTTGGATGCCAAATGGTCCTTCGCAGCTCATTTTTTTGGATTCAGGCAGCCTTTGTACAAGCAGCCAGACTAGTGGCTTTCGTGATTGTGTATCTGTAGTCTAGAAAAATATTTCCTCCTAGTAAACCTTATTAATATGCAATTGCTTTGAAAACTCACCAGGCTACTCCTAACCACAAAAAAAACAAGACCGGGGGGTGGGCACCTCCTTCTTGATCCTTCCTTTTTTGAGCACCAAGTCTGTAACTGCAAATCTGCTCTTCTGCTGAGATTAGATTTTGCTGCTTCTCAAAGTATCTCCAAAAAGGAGAGAGAATGTTAGTGGGCCTGTTCTGGAAGGGAAGGCACTACAGTGGTTATTCCTCATGTTGCATGGTACAAGTCTAGTCTCCCCCCCCCCCTTTCAGCCACTTGTTCGGAAATTTCATTTATGGACTTTGCATATAGTGAGAGTAAAGCTGTTGCAAAGCTGACACACAATTACCACAAGCTTCGGGGAAGGGCTGCATCTCAGTGGTAGAGCATCCACTTTTCATATAGACAGTTCCAGATTCAATCTCCAACAGCATCTCCACATAGGGCTGGGGATGTTCCTCCTGCCTGAAACCCCGGAGAGGCACTGCCAGGCAGTGTTGACAGTACTGAGCTAGATGGACCAAATGGTCTGGCTTGATTTAAGGCTGCCTCCTATTTTTCTGATGTTTTACGTTTCACTGTTTGGGCTAGAAAAATCTCTTAGAAGGTAGACCAGCTCCCTCTTTGTACATGATGGATATGTGTGTGTCTTTTGTTTCCTCGTTAAACGTCACCATTTCTTAAGCCTTGCTAGCTTCATTTGGGGAAGGCATCAGGGTTAAAATCCAGTCAGGTGCACGCTCACTAGGGGTCAAACCATGAAGCGGATGAATTGCAGCTGGGCTGTTTTGAGGGTTGGGGAATGGAAAGGATCGTGGTGATTTCTGCATTGCTGCTGCCAGGCAAGACTGGACAGGCACCACCCATTTGCAAGTATTTATCTGCTAGGTGACGTCCTCTTGCCAATATGTATCTTTGTGTCATGGGCTCTTACACCACCTGTGTGGGAAGATGCAACCTGTCACGGAGTCGGGCTAACAAAACAGACCAGTTTTTTTTGTTTTTGTTTTGAAGAAAGATAATGAAATCTGTGGGAGGTAAACAAGGCTCAGTCATTCATCCTTTGCTAGCTTTCTTATTGGAACTTGGCTAAATACTTCCACCTATACTGGCTCAGTTTGTTGTGAGAAATGCTTATAAGTCACCCTTTGCCAAACTAGTCCCCTTCACATGTTTTAGACTGCAATACCCATCAGCCCTGGTCAGCTTGTCCAAAACCTATGGAGGGCACCAGCATGGCAAAGGCTGGTATAAGTGATCCACAAGGCCTAAACCAGATGCTTTTCTCAAACCTCTTAAAACTTGCCATGATTGGGAACACAGTGACTGGGATTGCCACACTTATTCTATGGCTTACTGCTAAGTACATATACCATAATTATCTGAAACCCCATGAGATGATGCTTTCAGTATACCCTCTCTAACAGCTAGGGATAGAAATACCCTCTAGCTTTTGTTCTCTGTCTGGATTTGTTCACTGTAAACAGCCCTGTGATCCTCGGATGAAGGCCAGTATAGAAATTTAATAAATAATAGTAATTGCATTCTGCCAGGGCGCTCAAGGCTGTTTACAGTTGTAAAATACTAGACTGAGTAATATATAAGACGGCCTCTCAGGCAGACTGATGTTCCCTTCAGGATTTGATGGTAATATGCTCCCTGGCCTGGGCTTCCTTAACTTCAGTTTCCCTCCTTCTTAAGTAACTGCAGGGAACATGCACCCTGGGATCCCCTAACATGGTGCCTGTGGGCTCAGACACGTACACATCTCTTTGCACCCACAAAGGTCCCCTCCCCCTCCCATTTTTATCCCTTTTAAAAAGTTGAGGTGGTTTGGGGTCTTGCCTGCTTTTCTGTTGTTTGGGGGGGTTATGTTTTTGCCCCTTTAGGAAACACAGTGACCAGCCTTGCCAGCCTTATTCCATGAACTGGGTATTGTGTGGTGCCCACAACAGTTTTTTTATTTTAATTCCACATGTGCCCCCCGGGCATCAAAAGGTTGAAGGCGTGAGTTAACTCTGTCCCTGTCATATCAGCCAGGATTGGATTCTATGAAATCAAGTTCCTAAGTCTATTAACAACCTTCCTACCTGTTTTATCCATCCCAAAATACTGTTACAAGAGTCTTCAATGCTATCCTAATCATCTTCTGCCTTAATTGATGTTTGGCTTTTAATATATAATCTTCTGAAGTACAAATTATTGAGTGTGGATTCCAGATATCCTTGTTGCCATATTATGGGTCTTGGGTTGGGCCTTCCTACCACATATTTAGAGGATTCTCTCCCTGCCATTCTTCCTCCTAAACTTCCCAGTTGGCAATAAGGTGGTATTTGGGTGGGGCACCAGACCTCTTTGCAGAACTTGTTTGAAATGTAGAATCTCAATGTGGAGGCAAGTCTTGCCTTGATGATCACAGGTGGCTGCCTCTGTTTGGTAGCAATTATGCAAAGGTGCTTAAAGAACAACAAAAGTGTCTCCTGCTCCTGCTCTGTGCGACACCTTATGCCTTTGGCGGATCTGGTGTTTGCTTCTGTGGTGCGGAAGAGTGGTCTGCAACTGCTGCTGGTGTGTACCCCATCCCTGTCTTAGTCCATGCACTGTTGTGCCTTCAAAAGCAAAGTTTGAAATTAGGGGCTTGACTTGGGAATGCAAACCAGTGGGTGTGAATGGGGGGTGGGGTGGCTTGATGACTCTTCTGTGAGTGTGTGTTGGGTTTTTTAACATGTACACTGAGCTCTAATCTGTATAAAACTATTTTATGACGTCTCTTCTTCCTGTGTCTTATTTGCTTCACCGCTGGTTACATTCCTTGGTGTGGGTCAGAGCTTATATGCAGGGGCATCTTTTTCTAGATCAAATGCAAAACACACACACACAGTTGCCTCATTCGTTCCTGTGTATTTGCCATTGGGGCGAGGGAGGGAAGTTGTGGCCTTCCTGTTGTTGTTGGACTGCAACTCCCATCAGCCTGATCATTGGGCTAGTGGGAATTGGAGTCCACTCCTGCTCCAAAAGCTTCTTTCAGTCTTGCTTTACTCTTCCCAAAGGGCTGTTCCTAACGTCCATTATGGTGCCAAGAGGCACATTTTTGAATTCTCCCTTGAAATAACATGGAAAGTGCAATGCAAGAGTCAGCTCACCTGTACAAGTTGCTGGAAGCTCCCCCCCCCCAAGCCTTCAGTACAGTATTTATGCTCTATTCCTGTCCTCTTTGCACACTGATTTCCAGCACAGGTTCTATAAGAATATCCAACCATATTAAATACCCATCAAACAAAACTGAAGTCCTCAACATACAATACTTAATTGCTCCTGCGGCGATAAATCACCAGTGGCCCTACCATCCCTCTCAATCAAAATTCTGGGCAAGGGTGGAGTTTTTAAAAACTTCCACCTAAAATTAAACATAGGGTGCTACTTCAGCTTGAGAAGGGGAGGCACCACAGACAAGTTTCCAGGTAGTATGAGTCCTGCTGTATTGTTTTTAAAAAGGGTTAGCTAGTGGTATTGAAACAGGGCAGCCCCTTCATGATAGGAATACAGCAGCTGAAACACACTTTGGGACCACCAGCTTGTTACAGCAGTAGCCCCTTAAAAGGTAAAGGTACCCCTGCCCATACGGGCCAGTCTTGCCAGACTCTAGGGTTGTGCGCCCATCTCACTCAAGAGGCCGAGGGCCAGCGCTGTCCGGAGACACTTCTGGGTCACGCGGCCAGCGTGACATCGCTGCTCTGGCGAGCCAGAGCCGCACACGGAAACGCCATTTACCTTCCCGCTAGTAAGCGGTCCCTATTTATCTTCTTGCACCTGGGGGTGCTTTCGAACTGCTAGGTTGGCAGGCGCTGGGACCGAACAACGGGAGCGCACCCCGCTGCAGGGATTCGAACCGCCGACCTTTCGATTGGCAAGCCCTAGGCGCTGAGGCTTTTACCCACAGCGCCACCTGCGTCCCTTACACAGGCTTTAAAGGTAAAGGGACCCCTGACCATTCGGCCCAGTCGCGGATGACTCTGGGGTTGCGGCGCTCACCTCGCTTTATTGGCCGAGGGAGCTACTTGCAGTTTGATGTGCTTTCAAACTGCTAGGTTGGCAGGAGCTGGGACAGCAACGGGAGCTCACCCTGCCGTGGTTAGATACCGTAACTGGCCTGTCTGCTCCACTGTTGCATCTTTTGCATGGCAGTGGCTCAGGCAGAGGGGATTTACACACAAAGAAAATTCCTTGAGGTCCTTTTGAAATGAAATTTGAAGATCAAACCTTCTGCAGGCGATGACTACTAGCCTGTGTTTACAACAAAGTTTTCATACATTTTAATGCTGCACAGGAATGGACTTTCTCAGGGACAGCTTTTATAACCAACCCGCTCCTACCAAACAATATGCAACTGACCCAGTTACATGCCCTGCACCAAGCAAACTAAGCTTCTTGTTATAAAGCCAAAACTAAACGGCATTGGTTTTATGTTCAGAAGGGCCCAGCTTTAATCCACAGCATCTTTCGGTCACTAGGATGCTTGGTTACCAGCAAGTAACAAACATGGAATCAAAATGGGATGGATATCTTTAGTTGTGGTGCAGCAACAGAGATAATCACAAAGGCCTCCAGTCTTTTTCAGTTGCATTTAAACTAACTCCTCCAATAGGCAGTCTAATGTGATACATCAACGATCAGTTTACCTACAAGATTTCCTTACCCCAAATGTGTCTGTTCAGCCACTTTGATTGGCAGAATTGGCACTACCACACCACAGGTGCCACATAAAATATCCCTCCTGCATTTGTAAGAACTCGGTTGTTTAGGATGGCAGCACCTGCACTTTGGAGCTCCCAGCGTATAGAGAGCAAGCAGGTGCTTTCACTATTTTTGGTGCCTTGTTTAGGCCTGCCTACCCAGATGCTTAGAAAGTTGAAGTAATTTTAATCTTTTAGTATTTTAAATTTTGCTTCTTTTGAAGTATGGTGGTGAATTTTTATTGATTTTACTGTTTTATATTTTGTTAATCTCTTTGATTTTTTTTAATAAAAAAAAACCAAGTGGTTATAAATTTTACGAAATAAGTAAGTAAATACATACAGAGTTTTTTGGACAATGCAGACCTGAATGGACCCAATGATCTGATTTGGTACGAGGTGGCTTCTTACATGATGCACTATGTTGAGTTCCTTGGAAGAAAGCTGGGTTACATATGTATAATGATAATTAATGAATTAATTAATTAGGCTGCAATCATAACCTTATGGGAGCAAGACCCATTGAATTATTCAGCGAGAGCCTGTGCAGAGTATTAGTAAGTGTCAGATTAGGACCTTGAAGAACAGTGTTCAAATCCCCACACAACCATGGAGATCACTGGGTGTGACCTTGGGTGCCAGTTCACTTCCGCCCAGAGTGGCGGGGGCAATCCAGTCAGATGGGTGGGGAACAAATTTTTATTACTATTACTATTATTATTATTATTATTATACACGCCACCTTGAGCTCCCTGGGGAAAAGTGGGATAGAAAAAGTGGGCCCTGTGGAACGCCCTCCCATCAGATGTCAAAGCGATAAATAACTACCTGACATTCAGAAGACATCTTAAGGCAGCCCTGTTCAGGGAAGTTTTTAATGTGTGATATTTTACTGTATCTTTGGTTTTTATGGAAGCCGCCCAGAGTGGCTGGGGAAACCCAGCCAGATGGGCGGGGTACAAATAATAAATTATTATTATTATTATTATTATTATTCATTCATTAGACCGCTATTTATTTAATACCAAAGCGGTTTAACAATAGTACATAAAGCCATACGATAAAACCCATGGGTTGTTGTTTTTTAAAGAAAAATCAGATTACACCAGAATTAAAATTATGCAAAGGCATAGCGAGGATCGCACGGTATATTAACTTGTCTTTCCGCCCGCCCTCTTTCACCCTCGCAGGACCGAGTTTCAGATGGTAACCTGGGCGGGGCAGAGAACCGAAAGCCCAAAGTCCGCCCTGCGGGGTGCGGGTAGCTATTACCGCCGGGAGCCGCCGAGTGGCGCTGCCGCGGCTGGCGCTCTGGGAATCCCCACTCCACCGCCGCTCCTCGCCATCTCTATGGTTCCACCTCTACGCTCCATCGCCCTCCTTTCCCGGCCTACGGTTTCTTGCAACAGCCCTTGCTCTCCTTCCCCATCCCCATCTCTATGACCCGGAAGCGCCGTGCGGGAAAGGCGCTCTGGCCCGCGCCGCCTCCGTAGCCCAGCGCGCCGCCGGCCTAGGCCGCCGAGGGCTGACGTTGGACAACAAAGATGGCGGCGGCGGGGGGCAGCAGCAACTACTGGGAGGGTGAGTAGGGCGGGACGGGGGGAGGGTGGGGCAGCGGGGGAAGAAGAGTGAGGGGTGGGAGAAGGGGAGGGGGAGCTCAGCTGGGAGGGGCAGGGAGGCGCCGGGTGAGGGGCAGCAAAATGGAGAGGGGGCTCTTGGGGTTGCCAAGGGAGGGAGGCGGCACCTTGGTCCTGGAAGGCCTCGTATTCTGCGACTGGGGAGGGCGAGGGCTCCCCCCAAGTGTCTAGGGGGGAGGGGGCCAAGAAGGGGAGGGGGCTGAGGCGGGGGGAAGGGGGCGCTTTGGTTCTATGGGGCCTCATTTCCGGAGGAGGGCTGGGGAAATGGAGTGGGGGGGCGTGGTGAGGTGTGGGGCCCAGCAGAGAGCACCAGGGGCCTTGTTTCCAACCAGGGCCAGCAAGAGGGAGACCCACAAACAAGACATAATGGGTCCCTCTCTCTTTCTCTCACACACATGAAAAGGGCTCAGTGGTACACTGCTCCTGTGTAAGGAGGTTCTGTGTGCTTGTCACAGCTAAGGGTTAACTGCTGGAAGCTGCAGAAGGGGAGGCATTCTGTGGTGCTCGGGTCCTGTTTGGGGGCTTCGTCCGTTGGGTCATCTGTTGACAAAGACCTTACCGAGTTCAAGTTCAAGTTTATTAAATTTGTGAGGTCCATGCCTTTACACAAAATACCATAAAACATTATTGAAAGATAGACAATAAAATTATAAAAGTAAGCTAAAATTCATGCCATGCTGTCCCAGCAAGGAAACTACCCAAAAAACCCCCACCATTCAGGAAAGAAGATACAGCAACAGGTTAAGAGAGCAATGGGAGGGACCTCACTGTTTCCTCCAGGAACCGTACCCTAGTTTTCATAGCCTTCACCACAAAGATGGGTGATCTGTTCATTTCACTGGGTCCGCTCTGAATAGGTTATGGGGTGTTAGGGGAGGGGGTCGTACCTCAGGTGCGGGACATGACATGCTCATTCTGGGGTAGTTTGTCCAGCTTTGGTCCCCACCCTGCACTCTGCTCTCACCTGTGGCTCCGGGAAGCTGTGGTTGCACCCCAAGAATGGCTTTGACTGACTGGCTAAACCAGGGGAGGGTAGCCGATGGGTCTCTCAGAACCTTGGTGAGTTAGGGACTTCCATTGCATGCGAAGACAGGCCCAGCAGATTGAGTGGATGATACCAGTAATGAGTTCAACAGTCAGAAAGGTAGTTTCTGCACGTGCTGCGGAGGAAAGTGAGGGGCAGATGGGGCTTGTCAACCTGGGAAGGTAGCCCACGTAGGAGAAGGAAAACTCTAATCCTAAGCCTCTGCTGCCTTGTGGGGGATATATTTGGGAGAAGAAAAGGCTCAGGACTAAACCCCACACAAATCTGGAGTGGAGTCCTTGAGACAGTTGGATGGTGCCTTGTTCACCTCCTTCCAGCAACTCCTGCAGCCGAGCTGGTGCTGAACATCTTGCTCTGCTTTCCTTTGGACCACCTCAGGGAGGCTGAGAGAGGATATTGTTGTCTGGGCAACCCAGCACCTCTGGACACACTGGACTTTGGGGAGGTCACTTCGATGCAGCGGTCTTCACTTCACCCCAAGAGGGCACTCAAGTTGTCTCTCGAAACAGACAGATGCCAACAAGAGCTCTGAATAAAACTTAGTTGAATACCACCCATTTATTTATTTGTGGTGTTTATATACCACATTCTATGTTTCATTCTATGTTTTGTTTGTTTGTTGCAGTTATTTGCTCTCTTTTTGTCACAAAAAGTGACTTAAAGCGACTTACAAAACAGTTCAAAACCAAAGCAAAATAGAAACCTAAAAACCCATTCATATGTATAAAAGGTGGGTCTGGTGCATCCCACCCCCTGAAAAGAGGCCACAAATATCTAAAAAACCCCAAATTAAGAGTCAAAGACCTGGGTAAAGAAAAAAGCATTTGCCTGGTGCCTTAATGTAGCTAGTGATGGCACCAGTTGTACCTCCTTGGGGAAATCAGGTAAGGTAAAGGACCCCTGGACAGTTAAACCCAGTCAGATTCGACTGTGGTATGCAATGCTCATCTCTGCTTTCAGGCTGAGGGAGCCAGCGATTGTCTGCAGGCGTAGACAGCTTTTCCAGGTCATGTTGCCAGCATGGCTAAACCGCTTCTTGTGCATAGGACACCGTGATGAGTGCCAGAGTGCATGGAAATGCTGTTTGTCCTTCCACCGCAGGGGTACCTATTTATCCACTTGCGCTGGTATGCTTTCAAGCATCCCATAAGCAGGGAGGCACCACTGAAAAGGCCCATTCTCATGTCACCGCTCTGCACAGCTTCCTTGGAGGGGGGCACAAGGAGAGAGGACTTGGATGCTGAATGCAGGGATTGGGTTGGCTCATGGGGGGAGCGGCAGTCCCTGAAGTATTGAGGTTCTGAGATGCACAGGGCTTTATAGGTCGAAACCTGAAAGGTGCCTGCAGGGAGGCAAATGGTTCAAAAGCATTTACATGCCCCTGGCACCCTACTTCTCGCTTTCTCCCACCTCCCAGTAATTGGTGCTAAGAGGGACCCTGCCATCTGAGTTGCACTGATAGACACTATCTTTTTATGGCTTAGTGGATTAGACTGAAGGTTATCTGAAATATCTTGTTTTCCTGTGGATTTTGAAGCCAGTTTTATTTTAAACGTGGAGCTTTTATGCACTGTTTTCCTTCATGAGAGTACATTTGTTTCCAGGAGGTTCATAAGCAGGCACTCCTCTTAGGTGTTCTGCCCCTAGCAACTGCCACCCAAGGGATAGCTCAGTTAGTAGAGCACAAGATTCTTAATCTCAGGGTTGTGGGTTCGGGCCCCATGTTAGGCAAAGGTTGAGCTAGACGATCCTCCTCCTTTCCAACTCTATGATTCTATGACCCCAGTTTTTATTTACTTATTATAATGCTGCATAGCCTGCTTTTCTCAAAAATAAAATAAATAGGGCCATAGCTGCACGGCAGAAGCCCTCAGTTTCAGTCCCCAGCATCTCCACCTAGGTCTGGGAATTGCCTCCTGCCTGAAACCACAGAGAGCTAGCTGTCAGTTAGTGTAGGCAGGGCTGAAGCTAGAGGGACCTATGGTGTGACTCAGTGTACAGCAGCTTCTGGAGAGCAACAGGTTTCCCACCTCACTAGGGTGATGCAGTGAGAGAGCCAGTGGGGTGTCACAGAGTGTCTGACTAGCACTCAAGAGTCCAGGGTTTGAATCGTCACTCGGTCATGGAGCTCCCTAGGCGACCTTGGGCCGGCCAGTGCCTCTCAGCCTAACTGACCTCACATGGTTGCTGTGGAAATTAAATGAGCAGCAGGAAAATCATTTATGCTACCTTGAACAGCCTGGGAAAAATGTGGGATCTAAATGCAATCATCTAATCAGTAGTAGAAGCACACATTTTCTGTTCTCTTCAGCCTGTACACTGTTAACATTTCCAAAGCAGAATGCTTTCCATTTTGCTGATCCGTGACAGATCATATTAGAAACATTGCATCTCATTACACTGTTGAAATTCGTATCCATTTTTGGAAACAGAGCTGAATGAAGCCTCTTCCTTTTTGCCCTTGAGGGCTTAGTAGCAGCAACGTGTGTGTGTAGGTATGTAGGGGTATGGATGTGTATGTAGGGGTGTGTGGGGGCAGGAAAGGCTCACTCCCCCACCCCTTTCTCTTGTTGGTGCAGATCTGAGGAAGCAAGCCCGGCAGCTGGAGAATGAGCTGGACCTCAAGCTGGTCTCCTTCAGCAAGCTCTGCACCAGCTACAGCCACAGCAGCTCCCGAGAGGGAAGGCGCGACAGGTATAGGTACTACTGTCCTACTTTTCTTTTGTTTTTGACATTTTTACCATTTCAAAATAGTTTTTGTTTTAAACCTGTCTTTTCTCTATTCTTTTTGAGCTTCATTACTCAAGACTCCTGCCTTGTGGCTTACCTGACACAGTTTAGGGGTTGTGCTTGTGCCCCACCCACAATTCCTAATTGCTTTTACACTACCTAATGAGGCTACTTCTAGGGAGAGGCTTCTCCAGAAGCTTTGAGGGGCCAGGAAAAGAGGGGCGTTCTGCTTCCAGGTTCTTCCCACTTCTTCTCCTAGCTGCTGTTGGCCTGTCCTGAAACCATAGCGTCTGGAGTAGCTCGTCAGTGCTGTACTTTCCAGAATAGATGTCAGGAGCCAGAGTCAAGAGCAATAAAACACCTGGTGTCAGTGAAGTTGACTCTTTATTCAAAGGAACCCATACGGTGCAGGCCTAGTGGTCACAGCAACTCTTCCCAGTAGGTCTTGCCCCACTGCTCCCTAAGACTCCTTCCCAGCAACCTGAAGCTCCTTCGTCTTGTCTCTCTTTGCTCTGCTCTCTTAATTCCCCAGCAGGGAGGGGAACTGGTCACAGCAGTAGGGAGAGACTCCCTGGCTGCTTCAACAACCCTCCTCCAATCCTCCCCAGCTTCCCCTTCTGCCTCTGATTCTGGGCTGTCTTCTGCCCCAGCCTCTTCCTGCTCCTTAAACCCTGTTACCTATTCACCTTCTGTCACCTCCTCCTCCCATTCTGCTCCTTCTCCCTCTGACCACTCACTGTCCTGCCCCCACCAATCCCTGGGCTCTGAGCCTTATTCCTTTGAGGGTTCCCCGGCTGGTGCCTCCCAGCACTACTCTGCATCCAGTCAGTCCATGACAGTAGGAAGCCACAGCTCAGCATCATGGCAGTTTAAAGGAACAAGCTGAAGAGCCTGGCAACAGCGCTTTTCCTCCTGTGCCCAGGAGAGCACACGTGCAACTGTTCCCCCCCCCCTGCAGGTGAGAACCACAGAGGCTGGCATCAGCACCTGGGATTCCTGGGCATTTGCCTGTGGCCCATTGGTTTCCCCAGCGTTAACAGGGCCTTCTGGGTTGCAGGGTCCCCCGTGACATTTTGTGACAATTAGGTGCACCTTTTTACTCTGCCATAATATTTACAGAGGGGTGTCTGTCTGTCTTTCTCATCACTCAGCTCCGACACAACCCCTCTTCTGAATGGATCGAGCCAAGACCGAATGTTCGAAACAATGGCTGTGGAAATCGAGCAGCTCTTGGGGAAGGTGAGTGGGATTTCAGCCAGTTAAATTCCCAGGCCTCTGTTGTGACCTTCGAGGTTTTTGACACAAGCTGCTGGAGCAGCTTAAAAAACGACAGTGCAGAAAGTGGTGGCTCTGTTTCCTTAAAGTGTGTTTCCTTATAGAGGAGGGGGAAAGGTTGTTTTCTGCTGCTCCAGAGAAGCGGACACGGAGCAATGGATCCAAACTACAAGAAAGAAGATTCCACCTAAACATTAGGAAGAACTTCCTGACAGTAAGAGCTGTTTGACAGTGGAATTTGCTGCCAAGGAGTGTGGTGGAGTCTCCTTACTTGGAGGTCTTTAAGCAGAGGCTTGACAACCATATGTCAGGAGTGCTCTGATGGTGTTTCCTGCTTGGCAGGGGGTTGGACTCGATGGCCCTTGTGGTCTCTTCCAACTCTATGATTCTGTGTTTTCTCCCACGAGCAAAAAAGTCATCTCCTGCCTGGAATGGATGCCTTTTCCGCTTCAATTTCCTTATCTCCCCCCCTTTTTTAAAAAAAAGTTGTTCTCTACTGCTGTGATGCAGACATTAGGGAATTTCTTAACTGCTAAGAAATTAGTGATTAAATTAGGACTGAAGTCAGATGCAGATTGATGGTCCAGGGGCCCAGCCAGTTCTCTCCTCATTCCACGAGCCATCTCCTGGAATGACCTGATTATAAGTATTTATCTACAGCTAGGTGGCTGTAAATCATCAGAAATCCCAGAAGCCTAATTTCAAAGGTGGTAAGAAAAGGCCTTTTTAAAGTTGTTGTTGCTGCTGCTGCTGTTAAACAGTCAGGAGCCAGAAACCCTTGCCAACCTATTGCAAGTCGTATATGTTATATATTTTCCTTTATATACCATCTCGGAGAGCAATACTTGGGACAATTTTAGGTTTTTTATGTTAGTTTTATGCTTTTTATTCATTTTGGTTTTTCACAAGGAACAAAAATAAGAAAATCACTGTTAGTGAATGATAATATAATTATCTCATTGCTAATAACAGGAACCCTCAATGCGTATCAAATTGCAGTTTTACATAATTTAATTTAGATTTGTGCAAACTCATTTTATTTCATCTCCTTTTCATTTAATCTTTGTTAAGAGAGGAAGCTTTCTCTCTTTAAAGAGGCATGTTGTGATCTGCCAGGGTAATGCAGCATTTTAAGATTTTTTATGTTGTATTTTATCTGAGTAAACGTCCATTGACGGTGTCTTGTGTTAGTTTCGTACTGTTAAACCTTTTTTTGGTTTGGGATAGTCTGGTGAAGGCAAACAAACGAAGGAATCTACTACTGCTGCACATCCATCCAGAGATGTTCCAGTAGATGCCGACATTCTTTCCATCCACCCCAATTTAAACCACCCGGAGGATCTTGGAATGGCCTCTTTGCCTCCACCAGAACTGTCTGGTTGCTTTTCAGTCATGGGTTTTGCTCTTTACAAGTTCAATACAAAGGGGGAGGCCTAAAAATGCCAGCGTATTTCACCCACACAAGAGTTGCAGTGCAAGGCTGGGTAACAAGACCTTTTTAAAATTCTGAACACTGACTGCTTTGTCTGATTTCAAACTTTGTCAGTTTTGAAGCACTTTGACATTGTTGTTGCTTATTTTACCGCTGATAGTTTCTTACCGTAGACAGCCCTCAGATATGTATTCTAAAGAGTAGGATAGAAATCCTCAAAAGACGGTGGTCTGAGTTGTTTGTGCACAAATTGCATCAAAGTGTACTGACTCCGCCATTGGAGTGGTATATCTCTGTATGCCTCCCAGTTCCTGGAAACTGCAGATGGGGATAATGGTGCTGTTGTGCCCAGGTCTTACTTTGGGCTTCTCACCGGGGCATCTGGTTGGCCACTGCAAGGAGAGGGTGCTGGATTGGCCTGATTCATCAAGGCTCTTGTAATGTTCTGAAGTCCCAGAACAGCACTGGCCCAAAACAGTGATTATGGAACTGTTGAGCATCTGTTTTGGAAAGCCTGTACGTTTGTTTCAGAATGCCTTCCACACCTGCCACCAGGATTTCTGCCAGCCTTGCTCTTTGTTAAAACAGCTGCTGTGTGCTCCAAAAAGCAGTGGTTTCCCTTTCCCTTTCCAAATGCATGCTCTTAACTTTCCTGTGGAGAACCTGTGTCCTGTCCAACCTGTGTGCTCCCTTTTTCCTTCTCGCAGCTGACGGGGATAAATGACAAAATGGCCGAGTACACCAACAGCGCCGGAGTCCCATCCCTCAACGCAGCTCTGATGCACACCTTGCAGCGGCACAGAGACATCTTGCAGGTAGGAAGAAGCTCTGGGGGTGACGCTCTGGTGTTTGCCAGACTCGGTGGCTCTTTCAGCCTGTTTAGGGAAGTTTTTAATGACTGATGTTTTAATGTATTTTTAATCTTTTGCTGGAAGCCGCCCAGAGTGGCTGGGGAAGTACAGCCAGATGGGCGGGGTAGAAATAAATTATTATAGTGCAGGAGGAACTATAGTTCCCAGAATTCTTGGACGGGAGAGGAATGTGCTTTAAAGGTAGAGCGTTACAGCTGAACCAGGAATCTTGTTCTGTTTCACTTCGAACAAACCATGACCTTTCAACCAACACCAAACACTGACTATGGATTTGTTTTACATTTGTCAGTTAGCTTGATCATTTATACATGCTCTATCCCTGTAAGGTAGGGTGTTACAACTGCAGAAGTAAATACACAACAGTCAAGTATTTTTAAAAAACATACGTTTTGTAAAGCCTGCAGGTTGTATCCAGTGAGGCGGAAAGTTAAAGAACGCACAAGCTGGCAACCTTGCTGTGAAGTAAGTTGCACAATCTATCGTGCAATGAGTTTCTGCTGGCAGAACTGTTTCATTGCCTTCCTCAGTTGCACAACGTTAAAACTCATCTGTCCTCTAGCATAAGAGCCTTTGCACTAGCGGACAGAGAACATTGGATGCAGTCCTGTATGTCTTAAGAGTAGTCAATGGTCAGGGATGATGATCAGTTCCCTGTTTCTTATACATGGAGAGGCAGTCTCTTGGATAAGTGGGTCCCAAGCCTCATAGGGCTTTTATACATCAAAACCAAGACCTTGAATTGGGTAGCTAATTGGCTTTGGGTGCAAATGCTTCAGAAGCAGTGTTTCCATGGTCCCCAGGTGAGAAGCCTAATGGAATTCTCACAGCTGCGTTTTGCATTAGCTGCAGCTTCCAAGCTGTCTTCAAGGGCAGCATAGGGTGCATTGCAGGAGTCCAGGTGGGACATTATTGGAGCATGAAGTGCAGTGGGCAAGCTGGACCTGTCTGGGAACAAACCAGCAGCAGCCAGAAATAGGTGCTCCATGCTCTAGAGGACGCTTGGACATTCACCAACACCATGGGGACTAGGCACACCTCAAGACTATAGAGCTGGTCTTCCAGAGCGAGTGTCTCTCCTTGTATAGTTTTGCTTGTTCTTTGAGCTAGTTGGGAGGAGCGAATTGGTCAAGATTGGTGCATTCGCAGTACACAGTTAGCTGCTGTTTACTGTTGTGTGTGAACAAGGCCACCGTGTCATGTATGAAGTTCCGAACATCTGCTAGAAAATAAATGTGACTCTGATCCTGTTCTTAAATGGGTTGCAGCCACAACTGTTAGGCTAGAGTAGGCATCTACTGAGCCAGAGTCCTTGGTAGACCTGTTTCTGTGTGAGCCTTAGTTTTACACTTGGTACATACATACATACTATAGGACAGTCGTCCCCAAGCTGGCACCCTTCAGGTGCTATTGGACTCCAGCCCTCTTCATCCCTGAACACCGTTTGCAGGGCCTGCTGGGAGTTATAGTTCAGAACATGTGGAGGTCGTCAGTGGGTTGGGAAAGGCTCTTGGAAGATTTGTAACGTTTTGAGCTTCATCCTTAGAGGAAGAACAGCACTTCTCAAAGTCTGACACGCTTGGATTCTTTTGCTCTTGTTACAGGACTACACACACGAATTCCACAAAACCAAAACCAACTTCCTGGCAGTGCGGGAAAGAGAGAATCTCATGGGTTCAGTGCGGAAGGATATCGAGTAAGTTAGCGCGCTCTGCAGTCATTAGGGAGTGTGGCCTTCACCCGAGCTCCACCAGGGCAGAAAGGACCCAGAGCCAAGGGTAGAGTTAGCGCGCTCTGCAGTCATTAGGGAGTGTGGCCTTCACCCGAGCTCCACCAGGGCAGAAAGGACCCAGAGCCCAAGGGTAGAGTTAGCGCACTCTGCAGTCATTAGGGAGTGTGGCCTTCACCCGAGCTCCACCAGGGCAGAAAGGACCCAGAGCCCAAGGGTAGAGAATGTTTTTCAGCCTGAGGGCCAACATTGCCTTTTGGGCAGCCTCTTGATGACCACAGGCCATTGGTGGACAGAGCCAGAGGAGAAAGTGACTGGGGCAGTGAAGGTTCGTTTCTACACACACCCTTCTCCCAAGTCAGCAGAGAGGCATGATCGGAAGGACACAGTCCCAGCCAGGCAAAAACACTTGAGGAGGATGCAAAGCAGGGCCAGCGAGGGCAAGGCCTAGGGGGAGTCCCAAGGGCCTGATAGAAAGGCCTGGGGGCCACTGGACTCCCAACTCCCGTCGCACCCAGCCAGTTTAGCCCAATGATCAAGGACAATGGGAGTTGTAGTTACAGATAGGTAGCCGTGTTGGTCTGCCATAGTCAAAACAAAAAAATTCCTTCCAGTAGCACCTTAAAGACCAACTAAGTTAGTTCTTGGTATGAGCTTTCGTGTGCATGCACACTTCTTCAGATACACACTCAATGGGAGTTGTAGTCCAGCAACGTCTGGGGTGGCAAGATTGAAGAAGTCTGGTGTTACGGAGTTAGCTTTCAAAGGCAAGGCAGATCTCTGCTCTTTGTAAGAGACACCAAAGAGGAGCAGGGGGAGAGACGCAGCAAAATTTTCTGTTCCAATAAAACCTAGGCTGACAGAGCATGGAAAAGATAGTTTGCCTCATTCCCAAGAAAATATGCCCTGGGAATTTCTCTTTTGCTTCCCCAAAGCTGTGCAGGATTTGCCAACAGGGAGAATCGGATCTTTGCTTCATGCAAGGAGCCACTCCCTGCTTGTGTTTTCCCACCAGCAAATATTTACTTTCCTGGAGGCCACTGCTGTTCTGAACTGAGCTCAGCCTGTGGCTGCCTTCTGTCTGCTGAGAACCACAGAATAGCCTTTTGCCCTCCCGAACAGCAAAAGTAGCACTATGTTGCTGCGATTGGCAACTGGCTTTTTCACAGGGGCTACAATTTGAATTGCCCAAATGGTGGAAGGAGCAGCGAGGCTGACCCTGCCTGTTGATTCACTCCCAGGAAACTTGGTGGCACAGCCAACATTCTGTTCTGCTGGGGCTTGGGGCCTGCAGACACTGTTAGAAACTGAGATATGTAAAGGTAAAGGAACTCCTGACCATTAGGTCCAGTTGCAGACGACTCTGGGGTTGCGGCACTCATCTCGCTTTATTGGCCAAGGGAGCTGGCGTACAACTTCCGGGTCATGTGGCCAACATGACTAACCTGCGTCTGGCAAACCAGAGCAGCGCACGGAAACGCCGTTTACCTTCCCACTAGAGCGGTACCTATTTATCTACTTGCACTTTGATGTGCTTTCGAATGGCTAGGTTGGCAGGAGCAGGGACCAAGCAATGGGAGCTCACCCCGTCACAGGGATTTGAACCACCAACCTTCTGATCAGCAAGTCCTAGGCTCTGCGGTTTAACCCACAGCGCCACCCGCATCCCTGAGATATATAAACTAGGCACCAAATGGCTCCTTGAACCAAGATTACAGCCACCAAAACAGAATGCCTAGTTGCCATTTTGTGGCAAGGCAGCTCTAAAGTCCTATTTTTCAAATGATGGACTGACTGTGATTGATTACCACTTAAAGATCTGACCAGTTCAGATGACAACCTTGAGCTAGGTTAAGAGCTTTGAGAACTTAAAGAAGAAAAGTCCCTTGATCCAGGGACAGTCCACATTTATACTGGCCTATTCCAACCTCTTTTTCTTAATGGTGACATGGACCATTCATAACGTAGGAATATTCTTCTGTGAGCTGGGCAGTGGGGCGGGGTAAGTGAAGACAAGCTGCAACAGTTAACTATAACATGGTTCACTGCTCCTGCAATCTCATTTTGGGGGACTTTCTCCCTTTATCTTCCAGGTCCTACAAAAGCGGGTGTGGCGTCAACAACAGAAGGACAGAGCTTTTCTTAAAGGAACACGAGCACCTTCGGAAGTAAGTCTGTGCCTAGCATCAGATTATTCCTCAAAGAGAACTGGTCGCCACCCGCGACACCTCCTGTCATAACCCACTGTTTCCTACATCCAGGGGACGTTTCCAGCGGGGGTGGCCGTGTTAGACTCTTGCAGCCAGAAAAGCCAAGGAGCCTTGTGCCACCTTAAAGCAGTGGTGGGCACTGCCCATTGTGCCTGGTTAGGCAAAAAGCAAGGAGCCCAACAGCAGGTGGCGCCAGAGCCAATGACAGCCAGAGAAAACTAATTCTGGCTTTGTACCTGTCTTCCATCCTGCTGATTTCTAGGAGGGACAACACTGAGACTAAAGAGGAGGAAGATGGCAGGCAGGGCAACCTCCTGGATTGGTTAGGAGTAGAAAGGCAGGCAGGCAGGTGAGGGGCTGGCTGAGAGCAGGCGCTGGTTGGTGGGGCACAGTCTCATTCATCCAAATGGACAATGTGACCCTGCTGGCTGGGGTTGATGGGAGCTGTAGTACAAAACAGCTTGAGGGCCACCGGTTGGCAAAGGCACCCTTGCTCAAATGTCATTTTTTTACAGCGGTACTTAGCAATGTACAGCTCAGTTGCCTACACAGACTTCCCTCGCATTATTTAGAGTGTTAGGGGGAAAGCAAATCAGTGAAAACGCTTTTTTAAAAAAACAATGTACTGATTTTACTGTGCCTCTGAAGAGCTGCACACACAAATAATGTGCTTCCCAGGGATAATGATATTATTATTATTATTATTTCACTTTTAGATTTTAGGCGTGTTTCTGTCCCTTCCCGTTGCACAGCTTCACTTCCAGTGTGCACCTTCGTTAGGTGTCTGATTAATTTTATGAAACTGCATTCCTAATAAAAAAATCTGCAGGGAAATGTGATAGCAGCCGGATGCTTTCTGCAAAAGCCATAGCAGCATGTGGGCTCCAGGGGGCGCTCTTTCCCTTGAAAAGAGTCGTTCTCCAATATCTGCTCCTGGTGAAGGCAGTTTTGTTATTTTCTGTAATCAAAGGTGCATGAAAACCTCTTACAGGAAATGGCTTTTTAAATTTTTGCTTGGTTGTGATAGGCCAAGGAATCTGAGAAACCGCGTCTGTTCATCCCTCAATTTCCCCATGGGGCTCTCGCTGGCATTTGCAAAGTTTGGAAGGGCTGAGGGAGGGGCATCCATTGATTTTCACTTGCTGGATGTCTATTGCAAATAGATAATGGGCAAATGTTAGTTAGGAGTGTCCTGAAGCTTTGAGCACCTTTTGGCTTTGAAACGTCGGTGGAGGAAGGGAGCGTGCAGTGTAGTGTAGTGGGTGGAGCAGGAATAGGGGACCTGCGGGCTATTTGGTGGCTGGGGTTCATTGGGACTGGTAGAATGTAGGGCAGTGGTAGGCTGAACAATGGGAAGCAGCATCGTCCTTGTGATCAGTACTTTGCCAAGTTAAAGCCAATTCTGCCCTAAGAGAAACTAGATTCTGTGACCTGCATAAATCATTCTGCATGCTCTGTTCCCTAGGGAGGGGAGCCATGAGCTGCTCAATAGGGCTCTGAAGCGCCCCCACCCACCCCACATCCCATAATAGCAGCCCTACTCTGTTACCTCTCCGACTACTGAGATTTCAGCCGATAAGCCGTGTGCCTTATAAGGACTCAAAACTTCATATTTAAAGGCAAAAGGCCAAAGTTCTCAGCAAGCGACATTCTGCACCTGATACTACATTCTGCAGCCTGTGGATTTTTACTTCCGTTGGGTTTGAGGAACTTCTGCACAAATCCCATTGTGACAAATAAGGAGCAACTCCCATTTATCATGGTTTATGACAATTTCTGTGCCAGATTGATTCCTGGTGCATTGTGGCCCCTCATGCATAATTTGCAGGTATCGCAAATTTGCAGGTACAGCACCTGTCAGGCAAGTCCCCAAGGATCCATTTGTCTTGAACATTCTTAATAAGAAAGTGCAAGGCTTTAAGTGTGTGTGTGTGTGTGTGTGTGTGTGTGTGTGTGTGTAGTTTGATGGATATGCCACAAATCTTGACGACTAAAAAAAGACATCTATTCATCACATCTTTTCTAATAGGGTTTTTGACCGAAAGCTAATTGAGTTGGCTGCTGAGGCTGATAAAACACTTTCTCAATCCATCTCGTGGAAGACAACCTCCCTTTCCCTTTCCAGGTTGATAGAGGACAGGTAGATTCCCTTCCTCCCTTGAGTCTTAGGAAGTCATCCATCAGTTTCTGGCCAGATGAGAGGAGCAGTCCCTCTCCTCTGCTAGAAGTCTAAGAATATGAAAAGATAAGAACTCTGCTGGATCAGGCCAAGGGGGTGGTCATCTTAGTCCAGTATCCTGTTTTCACAGTGGCCAACCAGGTGTTGTCTATTGTGCAGGATTCAACCACAAGAGCCCTCTCCCCTCCTGCTGTTTCCAGCAACTGGTATTTGTAAGCATCGCTGTCTCCAAATGTGGAGGCAGAGCAAAGCCATCCTGGCTGGCAGCCATCAAAAGCCCTCACTGAGTTTGTCCAATCCTCTTTTCAAACCATCCAAGTTGGTCTCCGTCACAGCCCCCTGCAGGAGCGAGTTCCATAGGTTAACGATGCCTTCCGTGAAGAAGACGGACTTTCTTTTATCTGTTCTGAGTCTTCCAACATTCACCCACAAGTTATAGTGTTATGAGAAAAGGAGGGAACGTTTCTCTGTCCAGACTCTCTTTAACTTCTCATGTGGCCAGCTTGAATACTTTCGCTTGACCCAGGGATCCAGGCACTGCTCTCTTTCCTCGCGGCCCAGCCCCACCTCCTTCCTCTGCTTAATTGCCACGGACGTTTGCGGCACTCTGGGTGGGTGGCTTGTCAGGATCGATGCAGTTCTGGCCCTGCTGCTACGGGACTGGAGGGCTTTTCTGGCCGGAAAGCCTTGCGCTCCTAATGCAATTTCCTTTTGAGAGTGGGGCTCTCTAGCCCAGAGCAGAGAGAGAGAGAGAGAGAGAGAGAGAGGCAGCAGCTGTAGTGCGGCAGCTTTAATGGTGGGGATTTGCAACCTTGCATCATCCCAAGAGTATGTTGCCTGCAGCTCGGTGGGCATTTTGCCTATTTTATTATTATCATTTACAAAAATGTAATATCCAAGGCTTTGAGGCTAGAGTGCTTATAGCATGCTTGCATTCTTTGAAACCGTATAGAAGATACCTTGTGGTTACTAATTCCTCAGCTGTAGTTCCCCCTACCTACCCTGATTGCCAGCTGGATGGTACCCTTCCAAGCTCCAGCCCTCTTTCATTTTCCCTACATGATGTTTTCAAGCAGTGCATTTTCCATCCTGCTCCATCTCACGGAAGGGCCAAGGGGCCCTTCAGCGGCGTTCGATTTAGACAGGCCAGGTGGAGGGATCGGAAAACCCCACCGACGCTTGTGCAAGCCTTGATGTGTGTCGGCGGATTCTCTGCTCGGGAATTAGCTCTGTTGTTTCAGCCTTTGCAAAGGAGACCGCAGCTGCTGGGCAGCTTCCACTCAGGAGCTTACCTTACCGGTAGCCACAGATTAATGGGCTCGTTTCCAAACACATAGGGTTGTTTTGCAACTGTTCTTGAAGCCTGTAAATATTCATTTCCATTTATTAGACATATTAGTCGCTTGTCACCCAAAGGTCTTTGAGCATCTTACAACAAAAGAAAGATATACATGGGAAAGTTGGAGGAGGCGGGAAATCATGTAACACATTAATATTTCATATAACATGACATCCATTTTTTTAAAAAGTGAAATAATAAACAAAGCAATACTCAGATCCACTAATTAACAAATAAACGAAACCTCAACATCCCCCTAGACCCAAAACCATTCACACTGAACCAACAGTTCCCCCCCTTTAGCCTCCCCACCCCACGCAGGAGTCTGGGGTCAAGGCAAGCTATTATAAATGGTGTCCTCCAGGGATGGGCCCACGTCTCTCCTCTCCCTGCAGGAGGGAGTAGTAGCAAAGTGGGAAGATGGTAACAAAAGATTTAGCTGCTGATGGGGGTGCAGATGTCAAGGCTGGCTGTTCCAAATCAGGGGGTGGGTGGGTGGGAGCAGGGTCCTCAGGGGATGTATACAGGCAACTCCCGTTTTGCATGCGCAACCACTGAGGCAAATGCCATTTTCGGCCCCAGAAAAAGGTGGGGCAGATCATCTGCTTTGCATGCAGAAGGTCCCAGGTTCAATCCCAGCATGCCCAGGTAAGGCTAGGAGAGAGACGCCTGCTTTAATCCCTGAAGAGCTGCTGCCGGTCAGTGTAGTCCTTGCTGAGCTAGATGGGCCAACGGACTGACTTTGTTTCAGGCAGCTTCCAATGTTCCTATTTAAATTCGCCTTTAGTTCAAACCCATGAGGACTGGGGTCTTGCTCTGTGTTACGGGAAGGACCAAAGCTGGCACAGCATCTGCTTTGCATGCAGAAAGTCCCGGGTTCAGTCCCCAGGGGCATCTCCAGTAGGGCTCCTGCCTGAATCCCAGGAGAGCAGCTGCCAGTCAGTGTTGACAGTATTGAGCTAGAGGGACCAGTGGCTTGACATGCTGCCTTGGGCTGGCGGGAGCCATAGTCCAGAACATCTGGACGGCACCCAGTAAAGTAAGGCCACGTCAGAGCCTTAAGCATTACACCTGGCACTCCAGACTGCTCTCTGAAACAAGTGGGTCACCAGTGAAGGTGGCGTAAACCCCAGAAATTGTGGAGTTGGAAGGGACCCCCGGGGGTCATCCAGTCCAGCCCCCTGCAATGCAGGAATCTAGCAGAGCATCCCTGACAGATGGCCGTCCAACCCCTGTTTAGAAACCTCTGCTGAAGGAGAGTCCATCCACCTCCTTTTGAGGCAGCCCGTTCCGCAGTTGAGTTGGAATCCGAATGTTTGTTTGCATTAGGGATTCCCAGGCAGAGATGCTCCTCTGCCCATCCTGCGTATGAGTAATAAGTGTAGCAGCCTGCTGGGTTTCCTTGATGACCAGCTCTGCAAAGCACCTCTCCCTTTCCCT